GGCTTCGGCAGCTTGGGCAGCAGCTTTCTCAAGCTCCTCCTTTGACTTTTCGAGAGCGGCCTTGGCTGCTTCGAGGTCTGAAATCTGCATCCCGCGTAGAGATTTCATGTCACTCAACTCGGTGCCCATGTCGTCCCTGAGTTTGGCAAGTTCATATGCTTGGTCCTCCCTAAGCTTGGTCAGCTGCTGCTCTTGATCCTCCTTCAATGCGGCCAACTCCTTCTCCTTGTCTTCTTTTAGCGCCGCTAGCTCTCGTTCCTTGTCCTTCTTCAACTCATCCAACTCTTTCTCCTTGTCCTCCTTTAACCTCATCAGCTCACGCTCGGCATTTTCGGCAGCCATGGCGGCCCTCTTGGCACTGTCCTCCAAATCCCCTTGCAATTTGGCGCGCATGGCATGGAGGTGCAGGACCTCTTGCACTTTGGACTGGATCACGTCTTCGAGCCCTTCCTTTTCCTTGTCGAGGCGCTTCTTCCAGTCGTCCAGTTCGGAGCGGTAGCGATGGTACTCGTCGAGAACCTCACGGTGGGAAATGGACAGCCGCTCGTTCTTTTCCTTGAGCACAATGAACTGACCAAAGACGTCGGCGACCAGCTTGTAGTTGCTGTCGGCTGTCAGGTCGCGCATGGCCCGGACAAGACCATCGACGGCTTGGGTGGGGTCCATGTTCGCCGAGGAAGGGGAGAAAGGGGAAGCCATGGTTGTTGGTGATAGCGGGCTTCCAGCAAGGTTGGTGGTGGTGTTGGTGCTGCTGGTGTTGATGGTGGTGGTACCGGCGGCGGAAGCGGTGATGGTTGGCGGAGCCGTGGTTTCGGTAGTTGTCGACATGGACCGGAGGAAACCACGGAGCGCTTCCTTCTGGGGAGTGTCCAGCTTGGGCAAGTGTTTGTGTATTGTATAATCTACAAAGTGGTGATGTAAAGTTGTTGAGGTGTAAGAGTCTAGAAATGTTGAAAAGTTTTGAACATGACCGACGTGGCCCAAATGTGTCGGTGATGGCCTCCCGAGTGGATTGAGTGGATAAGCGGCTGTAGGGCAGTGGGCCGAGTGGCTCTTAGGGACAGGGCCCGGGGTGGTTGGTCGATGCGGAAGCTGAGCATAAATGGACGGCGATTGGCATATTTTCAATTTCTCATGCATCAGGCAGAGGCAAGCGGCAGCAGGAACGGATCGGCGACGCAGGGACAAGTCGCGGTTGTTTCGTTGATGGGCTGATGACGACGGTCTGGAGTCTGGAGATGAAGCCTCACATGGATTGACGTGTCAAATTCATAGGTAGGTAACGTTTGGTCAATCAACAATATGGGACTTCCCTCCAATCTCTACGTGGGTTGAGAGCTGGATGGAGGCTTTCCATTGCCTCGATCTAGGAACTGGGGACGAGGCGCATTTTGAAGGAGCTGACTGCCGACCTTAGGTTCCTCCAGCGGATGGAAGGGGAAGAAGCGAAGGAAGACAGAGTGGAAGCCTGGGTTTGGAGGAGTGCAGTGTTTGACGTGGCAGTCTCAATGACCAGAGACACTGAAAGCTCTGAAAATTAAAGGCGTTGTTTCCTGTACAAATCATTGGCCCAGGGGAACAAGACGCTGTAAACACCCGAACCCCACATGCCCAACGGGGCGGACGCCTGCACGTGCAGATTGTAGCCAAAGAAAACCTATCTATTGGTCAGAAGGAAAACAAAAGTGGATCTGCTTCGAAACCGACCCAAGTCCTGCCCCGGTCCCCGCAACCCGAACCTTCGCAGTTCCCTTTCTGGAGGAGACCATCATCCACATTGCGGCCCGTTCCAGTTCCATCTTCACTTGTTTCCGTCTCCATCTTCTCCATTTTCCACCCAATCCTCGACATGGACTCCCGGCTTGCCATAATGGGACCACTATCCGGTCGTCTACCAGCAACATCGTCATCAACTTTGAGCCTTTGGCTGATTCCCTTCATTCAAGCTGGCATCGCCGCGGCACAGCCCATTAAAATGTACGTTTCCATGGGCGAGGCCTCGACTCAGCGAATCATCTTCCCTCGCCTATGCACAAAGCCTTACCTGTGCGAACTGACCTCATTCTAGACCATACAGGCATTCAATACAACGATACTTCTACCAATGATACCGCGATACCATCTCACTGGAAAGTTGGGTGGTCGTTTCCCCTCCTATCTATCGCTCAACCCTCAAATATGTGCGCCACATTTTCAGAGCAATCATTTTCCCCGAGCTGAGGCAATTTGTGCCCTCTCCCCCCGACGCACCAAGCATCTTGTCGATTGCTCTCGGGAAAGCAGCACAACTCACCAGCATTCATCATGATGTGTCTTTTTCACCGAAGTAGCCGTAAAGAAACCCGTCCACAGGCCGCACGGAAGCATCACTTGGGAACTCGCAAATCTTTCAAAACTCCTGAACCCATTACTGCTTCCGTTCCTCGCCCAAGGGCAAGGCACACCTTTGTTGAGGCCGCACAACCAAACACTCCACCTTGCCAAAATGTCACAACCAAGCCCGAGACCTCATGGGACCGCGCATACGAGGCCCTTCAATCATCCAACGATCCCGACAAGTCTGGCTTGATTGCCAATTACGAGAGACAAGTTCTTCAAGCATTAACGGTCAAGAGCTCAGGTGACGATTAGCATCACATGCTCCGGCAAATCAACATGCTAATGCCATCGCAATTCCAGGACGCACTGCGCATTCGGATTCACTCGTGGACCAGACACCCACAACCAAGGCAGTCCTCGACCGAGCCATTGAGGACGCATTGAAGCAGGCCCAAGAGGAAGGCTTGGCAAGATCATCAATCAACAAAGCTGGCAAATTGGTGTTGGCGCTTCAAAACTTCATCAGCGAGGCCGTCAAGGCTTCCCCGGAGGCTTCCCTTGCCTGGGCTGGCGTGTGCCTTGTTCTCCCCATCCTCACCCAACCTGCCATTGCCAACGAAGCCCAAAGGAATGGTTTCTCATACGTCACATCCCGCATCGCCTTCTGGACTACGCTTGAGCGTCAGCTTGCCAACACTATGATCTGGACGGAGAGTGTTCAAGATGAATATATCACTCTTTATCAGCACTTGCTTGAATTCCAGGTCCGCACTGTTCTCCGATATCACCAGGGTGGCCTTGCGCGCTTCGTTCAGGATCTTTCATCCAACGTATGGGGCCAACTAATAGCCGCTATCAAGGATCAAGAGCGCCTCCTCCATCAAGACATACAGCAATACCACAATGTGCACCAGACACTCACTTCCGACCTTCTCAAGCAAAACAGTGATAAATCTTTGGAGTCAAATACCAACGTTCTCCAAGCTCTGCAAGACGTCCAGGATCTTGTTCGCAAGGGCGCCGAAAATAAGCTCAAGGAAAAAGAGAAGAAATGCCTACGCCTCTTCCGTCTTACAGACAACCAGAGAGATGTCACCTATGAATGGTACAAAAGTCGTGTCGAAGAACGGGTCCAAGGAACTTGTGTCTGGGCTGTCCAGCACAAGAATTTCCAAGACTGGCTGGAGCTCAAAACAGGACCACTTTTGATCACAGCAGACCCGGGATGCGGGAAGTCCGTCTTGTCCAAATACTTGATTGACCAGTATCTGCCACAACGGTGCCCAACTGCAACTGTTTGTTACTTCTTTTTCAAGGATGGGGACCAAAGCACAGTCAAGCAGGCCCTTTGTGCTCTTCTGCATCAGCTTTTTGGCCAAAAGCCAGAATTGATCAAGCATGCTCTCGAAGAACATGATCGCAATGGAGACGGCCTAATCGGAACGACATCCTCATTATGGCGGGTCTTCAAGGATGCAACGCATGATGAAAGAGCGGGCACCATCATCATAGTGCTTGACGCTCTTGATGAATGCGAGCCCGACGAGTTCAAACTGTTGGTACACAACCTCATTCAAGCGGGAGAAAGCCATGTCAAGTTTCTTCTTACATCTCGCCCGTATGGGGATGTGATTTCCCCTTTCAAGTATGGCGACATGCTGCAACGATTTCCGCGCGTTCTAATCCCAGGGGAAAAGGAAGACCAATCAGACCAGATTAGCACAGAGATCAACCATGTTATTCAAGTTCGCGTCGAGCAATTCGTACACAAATATGGACTCAAAAATCAACTCAGGGATACCCTTTGGGCGGAACTCAACAAGACAAAGCATCGAACCTATCTCTGGGTTTATCTTGTCTTTGACCATTTGAACACCCTGGTCACAAGCGATTCTCTGAAGCGGACAGCTCAAGGGTTTAAGGCTGCCATCGCGAAACTTCCTCGGACAGTCGAGGATGCATATGAGCGGATTCTCAATCGGCCCCAGGGTGTCCTACGTACAACATTGCGACGAGTTTTGCGTGTCATGCTTGCTACCAAGCGCACCCTGACTCTCTCTGAGATGCAGATTGTGGTCAATATGGAGCCTGACATAAAATCTTGTAAAGAACTGGACCTGGAAGATGAGGAAGATTTTTCAAAACGTCTCAGAACGATATGTGGACTATTTGTCTCAATTTACCAGCGAGAAGTGTACTTTCTGCATCAAACCGCGAAAGAGTTCTTGCAGGCCAAATCGGAACTCTCCACAGCGCCAGGGTCATGGCGCTCCTCGATCAGGGAGAACCAGGCCCATGGGGAACTTGCCCGGGTTTGCGTGCGGTATATTTCCATTTTGGATCCCGACGTTATCCATCGCGCTTCCGACTCTTCCCTCCTCGAACGCGAGTACCCTTTCCTGAAATATTCGAGAGCTTTTTGGGGCTACCACCTGCGCAAAGGCGACTTGTGTGATGATTTCGAGATTATGAGGACAGCGATGGGCCTTTGTGAGCCTGGTTCCGTACAATTTCGCACCTGGGCGCCTTTCTTTGGGTTTAACACCGTATTGTATCCTGTGAGTGGTTTGTCTACAACCCTCCATGTTGCCGTGGCTGTAGGGTACGGTGGCCTCGTCCGCCACCTTCTGCGTGAAATTGGAGCTGAAGAAATCAACACGGGCCATAACGAAATTGAGACAACACCTTTAGCTCTGGCCGCCAGACTCGACCAACGGGACATTATGCACCTCTTGATTGCAGCGGGGGCCAAAGTGGATGTTGGTTGGAATAAACGATCTCCACTGTATGAAGCAGTGGACGCTGGATATGTTGAGTGTTTCGCCATCTTACTCAACTATGGGGCCTCCGTTAATGTGTTGGATGCATCCGGACGGACTTTGGTACACGTTGCGGCCAGATGCAATAACGTCGAGATTGGGAAGAGATTAGCTAACAGGGTTATTGATGTCAACACCATCGACTTTGACGGTAACACAGCTCTGATGGAGTGCTCGCAGCAGACGTACCCGAAGGATAGGCTCGAATTAGCCACAGTGCTGATTGGGAGAGGAGCTTGTCTTGACATGGCCAACATATACGGCAAAACCGCTCTCATGCGAGCAGTCGAGTCGGGCAATTTGGTTGTGGCCAAGTTCCTCATTGAGCAAGGTGCGGATACCAACCTACGAGATGGTGAGGGCGAGTTGGCCCTTCACAAGATCTGGTACACTACTGAGGTTGAGGATACAGCTGTATCACTAGCAAGGATGCTAGTTGTGAATTGTGTTCACTTAGAGGCACAAAACAAATCTGGTAAAACGCCCCTACATGTTGCCGCTGCTAGGGGGCTTAGGAAGCTAGTAAGGTTGCTAGTTGAAAGCGGCGCGGATACTGAGGCTACTGACTACCACGGCAAAGGGCCTCTCTTCCTTGCCGCCACGTCACTCAGGCCCCAAACTGTTGAGATGCTTCTCAAGTTTGGTGCCAAGGTAGAAGGCACTGAGAAAGGCCCTTCAGCCCTGGAAAAGGTCACGAAATTCATTGGGCGTTATACACGCGAGGCGAATCGCATTTTAAGCGAGTATGAAAACTTGAAGCAACGAACTTCACACTTCGAACCCGGACCTATGGGCTGGTCTCAAATAACGGACGACACTCTCAACATGACACACATGATAAACGGCTGGAGCTCTGAACTAGCTAAGCGGAGTTTGGCAACGTACCGAGTGCTGCGCCGAGCGGTTGCTGATACAGGTATCGGCATGCTAGATGAACACGAAATTGAAGCGTTGCTACATCGTGCGATGAAGGATATGGATCAGTTGCGAGAGGATGCGAAGCCGATGATGGAGGCAAATCTACGACATCAATTTGGCGGTCGTCCATGAAGGTTGCACCGGGTTGTTGTTTCTTTCCAGGTCGGTGCTTGGGAAAGTTATCCTGTACTTTCCGCAATGGCGTTTGTTTTGTTTGAATATACTGTTCCCCGTCTCTTTTCCATGAAGACCTAAAACTACGCATAATTTGTTTAGTTTCATTAAGGATGTGAACCAAGAAATGTATTTTGTTGAAGCCATCACCAGTTCTTGGCATTCCCTTGGCATTAGTGGATACGATCCACACATGGCTACCCTGTATATAAGTCGGATCTCATCCTCCTTCATCTTTCCTTTCTTTCTCGATCAATCAAGACTTTCACCACCACCATGTCGCTCACTGTGATCACTCCCTTGCAGTAGGTAAGTTTCAACATATTTCATCTTTAACATTTCTAGCTAAGACGTTAAAAGTGCGTGGAGTGCAGCTCTCGGCTTACACAATGTTAAGCAAGCCTTTGTCCCCCAACTTCTTCCCGTTCTGACTACAATTGTTCTACCCGTGTCTTCTCTAGACACAAATAACTCGACCCCTTGGCGTTTCATTGTTTCTCGACCACGAGTCCTCGGGAACAAGCGGCTCATATGAAACAGAGAAGCGGGTAAGACCGCCAAGTCAAAGTAAACAAAGACCACGGCACGTTCCCGCCCCTTTTTTCAACATCAGCAAGCATATGTAGACCCGTGTGTCTAGGAGAGGATGAGAATGTACCGTGATAAGGTATATAAAGCTCACCATCTCTTATTCAGATTCCTATTCACAACCCTTTTAGTCTCCACTCGAAGCCCAGCATTCCTAACTGTCCTGCCCTGTCTTTCCGTCCTACAAGCTCGAGACTACACGAAGCAGTAACCAACCAACTTGACTCATCAAAACAAACAACAACAACAACAACAACAACAAAGCCCCTTCAACCCCTTTCACTCCCGCCCGCCCAACAAAAGATGTTCCCACCCACCTTCTCCGCTCTCCTCCTCTCCTCCCTCCTCCTCCTCCCCGCGCTCGTCCCCCTAGTCCAAAGCTACGACTTCTCCCCCACCCTCCCCGTCTCCGCCGTTCCCGACGCCCAAAAATCCGACTGGTGCGACTCCCACTCCTCCACCTGTCGTTCCATCTGCGGCACAGGGATGCCCGGCACCGACCTCTTGGGCGTCCGCATTAATGTCTGTTCATACAAGACGCTGCAATACGAATGTATCTGCAACAAGGACAATTTGCGCCCCAAGATGGAGTTGTTTCATTATACCGTGCCCGGATTGATGTGCGAGGCGGCGTGGAAGGCGTGTCGCCAGACGAATGAAAACGACCCAAAAATGGTGGGGGAGTGTGATGATAAGATTAGAAAAAAGTGTGGGCATTGGAGGACGAAAGATCAGGAGACGAAGAATGACGGTTTATATGGGTTTTTTAAACCTATTATGGGGGGTGGGAAGGCGGGTGGGAAGAGGAGGAGGGAGGGGATTGAGAGTGAGAGGGGGGAGTATTGAAGAGGGGGGCTGGGGATGGGAGGTAGGTAGGTAGGTACCTAGTACCTGGGTACCTACCTAGGGAAAAGTACTTACCTCTATCTTGCTGCTCGAGGAAGTTGTGGAGGTTTGATGGTGCTGGGAGGAAGTTTGGGATTAGGAGTTTCTTTGTGTACAACCTATTTTAGTATCGTAAGTGGCAGAGAACGTCTTGTGGATGTGAGAGTTGGGGGAGAAAAAGGATTGTAAGATAGATGTCGTTTCCTTTTCAACTTGTACGGGATGATCTAATCTGAACAAAAAAAAAAAAATTAAGAAACAAATTGGAAGGGGGCACAGGTTGGCACTTTAGTAGAGGTATGAAGACTTCTCCAAGTACCTTATGTGTGGAAGTACCTCTAGGATCAGCAGTTCAGCTGGGAAGATATTGGCCGGCCGACAACGCAGTCACACATAGTTGTTGTCAACAACTCCAGCCTTGTGCTTTCAGAATAGAACTTTGTTATCAATATCCCTATCAAACGGTACTCTATAACATGTAGCGACACGAATATTTTGTGAAAGAAATGAAGTCGTGATCCAAGTACCCAAATCGTCCAACCCGCAACCCATGCTAACGAAAAGAAAGAAAATAAGACAGAAAAAAGTGCTCAAACCAACGAGCAAGTCCAGCAACCGTACCGACCATATACAAAGAATCGAAACTCCAATCTGGTAGAAATGAAAAAGATAACCTCCCGCCACACCTCCTTGCTTCCCTCCCCCCACTCACGACGACATGCCCTTCTTCATGTTATCATACTGACTGTCCGGATACTCCAACAAGTTCTTCTCGCTGTCCAGCGTTCCCAACCCATCCTTCACCACCGTCATCAAGCTGTCCTTATCCGTCCGATCGCCCGACGCCTCCCAGTACATGGCACCGCCCAACCCCTTCTCCTTGATGTAGCTCACCTTCTGCTTGACCATCTCGGGCGTATCATAGCTGACCATGACCTTGTTCGTCTCATCATAACTCCAGCTGGCACCCACCTTTTCATCCAAAAACACCTTGGCTCCACTCTTCGGCAACACCTTGTAATCCCAAATACCCTTCTCCCACGACCCCTCTCCGACGCCCGAGTACGCGGTACCCGGTCCATCAGTCGACGCGAACGCGCGGCCGTACAGCGGCATGCCGAGAACGATCTTGTTGGAAGGGATACCGAACTTGATGTAATCCGTGACGGCCCTATCAGTCGAGAAGGGCGTCGTGTCAGGGTTCTTCTCGTCCGGGTACAAGTTAGCCTGGTGACCGGCCTTTTTATCCCAAGCGCCCGCGTAGTCGTAGGCCATGAGGTTCATGAAGTCCAGCGTCTCGCCGATTTCCTTCATCGAGGATTCCAAGACGCCGTACTTGGACGGACCCGCCGAGGCAGCCATGGTCAACAGGAAGTGGTACCCGTCGGCGTGGGCGGCCGCGTACTTGTCCATCTGCGAGCGGATTTCCTTGAGCAAAAGCAAAAAGTTTTGGGCTTCGGTTTCCGAGGCCGGGTATTCCCAGTCGATGTCGATGCCGTCGAAACCCCAGTCTTTGACGAGCGTCAGGGCCGAAGTGGCGAACTTGGTGCGGGATTCGGCGGTGGAGGCGGTCAGGGCGAAGCGGCTGGGGGAGGTCTGGGAGTAGGTCCAGCCGCCGATGGAGAGGAGGACGCGGACGTTGCGGTTGGCTTTTTTGAGGAGGTAGAGTTGTTTGACGCAGCCGTAGACGTTGGTGCCGTTGTCGTTCCAGGCTGGAATTGTTGTGTTAGTTTGAGTTGGGGGGTGGTGGTGAAAATGATGGAGAACGTACAGTCAGTGGGATAGCGCTTATCCGTGTCAGACCAGGTGTCTGAGGAAAAGACAGTTCCGTCTTCTTTGAGGTTGGCAAAGGAGTACAGGACGTGAGTGATTTTGTCGGCTGGAAGGTCGGCAGCCTGGTAGTTGCGGCCGTAGATGCCCCTGGAAAGGAAAGAAGAAGTCAGCAAACTGTTCAGCCCGAAGGTTTGAGGATTGATAGGCACATACCAGTTTGTAAAGTAAACAACGTTTTTATATCCGCTACTGTCTGCACGATCAGGGGCAGTCACGTTGGTGTCAGTAGAGGTAACGTTGGTGCCCGGGCAGATAGGCGCAGGCGCAGCATCCACAAGGAATGAAGAGAAGGAAAGGACAGCCAGTGCGGCCGCCTTGATAGAGAACATCATAACGAATGAACGAATGAATGAATGGAGATGCCGCAGACTGATGTAGTGTATGGCGCAAAAGGAGAGGAGGGAGTGTTGTTTGCTTGTCTGATGAACTAGACTACAACATCTCGGAAGGGGAGGACTTGAAGCTTCTTTTATCCTCCCCTTGGCCTCCAACTGGACTCAATGTCGACACCACAGTAAAGCCAGCAAGCACCAGTTGGCCAGGCCCATCCAACCATCTCTTCCAAGTTTCTGTGGTGTTGCCATCAAGACAGGCACGCGGAAACTTTCCATGTGAACCCCCTCATCGTCATCACCATCATCAATCAGGTCGTCGAGCGGTTCCTTGTGCCTTGTGCCTGGCAGGAACAGGAACCGACCTAGGAAAGGAAAGGTCCGGTCCGATGCCTCGTTGAATGTTGCATCGGGCTAGTAGCTCCATACAACGTACCTGACCTGAAAGGTGATACGTGCCCTGGCCTGCTGGCCAACTAAAACGTTTAGCGGAGTCACCCTCCGCATCTCCCAAAAAATCTTGGTTACAAACACCCAAACAAAATTCCCAGTTGGAAATAGTGGGGCCCAATGCACACCTAAAAGACACTAGTGTCAGACATTGTAAATCCCGTTATTTCCATTTTAAGGTACCCGCTAACCTTTGGTCTTCTCGATGCTGCAAGGTACCAAGATTCTAGCTTCGGAATTCCAACCTATCGGCAGCCAAGTGGGAACCGTTTGACACATTTGACATAATCATTCTGCAGCCGCACAATGCTTTGATACATGGCAGACACTACTACATATCCACACTACACCTACCACCTGAAAAGGTAGGATTTTGATCAAGTGAAATGAAAGGCGTACAATCGGTCACGGTGAGTAGATTCCTCCTCAAGAGAAGGCTGGGGAGGAGTGAGAGGGGAGGAAACTACCTATGATGAAAGTACCTCACCAAATCTGAACTTCTTGGAGGTACACAATCTCATACTGCCATTTATCCCAACTTCAACTTCAAGATACCTACCCTTAACCATTCCCTCCTCCCCATCCCCTTGGATCAGATGTAGAGGTAGCAAATATCAATCTCGCAACGTTGCCATCCCCGAAGGTGTGCAGAGGTAGGTATACCTGAGGTGAATGTTCCATCATTCCATCCATATCTCGTCCTGTACTGACCCTATCCACCTCACCGGGTTGAGTAGAGGTAACCATGTCCATGAAGCTGGCGTCGGGGTTCGAGATCAATGGGACACGGCGAGGGAACCGTTGCTCGACCACAAGTGACCACTGACCCGACAGGCCGACAAGGACGTAGCGTGATGTGACACTGTGGGGGACCGGTTATCTCCATGTCTTCACGTGCGAAAAAAGGGTATGCAATTTCCGTGCCATGTGGGATTGAGTGCCTCCACTTGTCGACGTGACAGCGTGGTGATGTTTCATCGAGCGTTTAGGTTCGACCGCCGAGGATGGGCAGTTGGGCACGAGACGTCCATATCGAGTCGCGAGTATCTGGTAGGTGTCTTTGGGATGATGAAGGTTGGGCAGATGGAAGGGTGGGGGAGGATGAGACGGTAGTCCCGTGATGGATAGGCCTTATCTTAGACCTTGTGTTTGTTTTGTCTTCTTTTGGTTGAGAAATCAAGGGGTGGATAAGAGGTAACTACCTTAGTCGACTGGAGCGAGACCTTGAAAGGGAAAAGTCCAAATGAAGAGCTGGTGTTAGAGCTCCGACGGTAGGTAGTCAAGATGCACATGAAAGGGTTCATGGGGAAGCATCGCATCGCATCGCATCGCATCGCATCGCATCGCATCGCAGCGCAGGGATGCAGCGCAGGCGCGATCACCGGATATAACCAGACAGATAGCCAGGCACCAGACGGATAGCCAGGCACCAAACAGATAACCAGGCACCAGGCACAGGCACAGGCACCAGGCACCAGATGGCTCGGAAACATTATCTGTACTACAGCGGGCCGACAATTGGCAAGATGTCTCTGTACGGTGGCCATAATCCCCGGTTTTTGCCACCTGGGGTTGATCAATCATCATCGCAGTCGTTCATCTCATTATCTCCGGTCTTATCAAATCTACCCAAGGTAAGTGCCGTCGGATCGGGTAACTAGATCTGGGGAAGTCGCCTACCTAACATCCGAATTGGGAAGGTCCCGTCGTGAACACAACCGCCGGTAATGGATGGGTGTGTATGTGCCCGGGCTCGGCCAAATACCCAGACAAGCAGCCACCATCTCCAAACTGCTTCGATGTGATATCGAATTTGACAATCTCCGGTGCATGCAGACTGTCACTTGTCCATCATCAACTGAAGTGTCAGTAGAGGTAGTCTCGTGCACACGGGGAGAGGTTGTTCAGTTGATGATAAGGGTTGTTGATAAAGGGAATTAGGGGAATGGAATACCACCCTACGCGGTCAGGTACACCACCAATGATCGATGGTCGTTACATCTCCAAGGGTCCAAACATGCAACGTTACTCGGATATTGCGATTTATCTGGACTCTGGATGCAGGTATCATTGCAGTGCTGGTTGATATTTGTCCTGGGATATTCGAATTGAATCGTAGGCAACCTGATGCTGAGGACGACGTCTGGAATTAATGTTGAGATCAGCAAACAAGAACAAAAACAACGTTTCCTACCCATTCGCGAGAATGTACACAAGATAGAACCTAGCAAGAAGTTAGATAAGAGCAGAAGAAAGCGAAGGGAACATCAAACCCATCCGCATCACTCCGCCAGACTTACCCAAGTCCCCAACAGCTCATAGAACCTCATCAACCAACCACCCCCTAATAATCTTCATAACCTCCTCCCTCTTCTCCATCCCATCGCCAACCAACTCCTCATCTCCAAATCGCCCAACGCCATCTTGATCATACCCATGAATCGCATCCGGCACCAACAACCACCTATACCTCCTCTTCACTTGCGTTTGCCCATCCTCCTCCGAGTCCGTAACCTCCACCTGCCAATGAAACCTCTCATCCTCCAACTCCAACTTTCCCTTCTCCTCACCAACCTCTTCCCGTCCCAACATATCCTCTACCCCCGGTACCTTTTTCCCTCCCAACTTGCACGCCAACCTCCACGCCTCGCCCCCCAACATATCCAGCTCGCATGCAATGACAAACACATTCGCAGGAAACTTTTCCCTCCCCTTTACCACCACCCTTCCCCCCCCTTCTGCGGTTGCATCTTCTTCCACCGTAACAGCATAAACCGGACTCAACAACGGGTCCCCCATCCTTTGCCCGGGGGAAACATAAGCCCAATCAAACATGCCCGACAACCCCATCAAGAAATCCGTGTCCTTTCCCCTAAACCCGCCCAGCGCAGATTTATACCGTCTCGATTTCGTCGCTTTGACTTCTGAAGGCGTGACAAAGTCCAGAACGGGGTACATGGGCACCACAGCCTTGATTAGCGGGCGAATTGTCGGTAATTGCGAGACGGCCAACGCCAAATTCCCGCCGGCGCTCCACCCGGCGATGGCGACGCGGTCGAGGTCGATTGGTAGGTCGCCGCCGTGGTTTGATGAATCTGAATCTGGCTTGAGGAGGTCCAAAATGACGGCTTCGAGATCGTGGATTGCTGTGGGGAAAGGGTAGGAAGGGGCTTTGCGGTAGTCGAGGGCGATTACGCAAAAGGACGTACCGGCTGTTTCGGCGAGTTGGACGAAGCGCCGGTTCCAGCTGTCGTTGTCGTAGGGTGAGCCGATGACGAAGCCGCCGCCGTGGATGGTGAGTAAGGTGGGGAGCTTTGTGTCAGATGGAGACTCGTCCGAGTGAGATTTGGGGAGGAATACCCTTTTGATGTGTCAGTTTATCGGTCGCTTTAGTGGATGGTCAGGTAAGAATAAATGAGGGGCATACCGAACGGGCAACTGCGGTCTTGAAGGAAGCGCCTTGATGATATCCGGGTTGGTAGGGGAAGTGCCCAAGTAATCGGTCTTGATGGCAGTGATCAAGTTAAGCGGGGTCTTGATGAGTTTGGTGATGCCGTAAGCTAATGCGCCATACTTGAGTTTCTGGGTGAGTGGGAGGGATGGAGCGACATGGATCTCCTCGGAGCCAGTTGGGCCAGCAGTGTCGACGACGGCGGCGGGGGGTATAGCGGCCATGACGGGCGATTGAAGGTATCTACAGGTGTATTGATGATGACAAGAAGCTTGTAAGGTAGAAGGAGGCTTGGTGTTGTTCGCTGTTGCCAGATGCCCGCTGGCCAAGGACAGACAGACAGACTGACTGACTGGCTGTGATGTAGTGTAGATCGATGCTCGGCAATGTGGATGCCAATGCTGGCTGTCGGGAAATATGTAAGTCCGCTCATTGGTTGGACACATCGGAGGGGAACAAAAGCCCCGAGGGTTAGGGGACAAGGCAAAAGCCCGAAAAGTCGGGATCGATCTCCGCACGCAATCCACCAGTCGAGGGTGATCCGATCGGGAACCACGGCAGCACTACCCCGCAGCCTAGGGCATACAGTGGGGCGCCAAAAATAAAATACGCTCCAAATTTTCCGAATTTTATGACAATGACTACCTTTCTTTCATTGTACCTTACAACTACAGACCCTTATAAAAAGCTTAGAAAATAGTTTGGGGGGTACTTTAGAGCTAGGCGGATAAAACGTATTATTCAATATTTCGTGTACCAGCCTTTTGCTTCTACTATAGCCTGCCCTCTTCGAAGTATATTGTCAACTAGGTTATTGACTATATTAATTTTAAAGTCCAACTATTCCTTTTTAGCTACCTCTAATAGTAATTTTAATACTCAAGAATTCTTTAGCATCTTAGAAAATTTAGAATGTCTTTCAACAATCCTAGTTTTGAGCAAATGCTATAGATTTTCGATGGGGTTAAAATCGGGCGAGTACGGTAGCTATAGCAAAACCTTAAAATATATTTCCTCGAACTAATCCTTTATAATTTTTACTATATAAATAGGAGTATTGTCTTGTATAAAGGTAATATGAGGCTCTATAAGCTTAGGAAGCTCTTTTTCAAGAATTCCCTTATAAATTCGAACTATAATACTTCTTCTTTTAATATTAGAATCTCCGAAGTAAGGAACGAAGTTACTTTTAATACTATAGTAGATTATACCCCAAAATATTTATAAAAAATAAGATCTTTTGTACCGGGTTTGAACGTACTTAGGATTAATAGCTAATAAATTTGAAATAAAATAATTTGGTTAACTTTTGAGTAAACGGGAGGAGAAAGGCTGCCGGAATCTTCTCTAAGAAAATTTACTTTTAGGGTAGAAAACCTAATATCTCCTTCTACTAACTCCTTTTTCTACTATTAATTTATCTATAAATAGTACCGTCCTCTAAAAGGATAAAGGCTTATTATTATACTTAAGAGATTAAATATATTTAGTATTGGCTATTTCTTAGGAAAGATATAGCCGAATAATAGTTAAGGAGTATAAAATACCTTTTTTCCAAAGGTAGCGCCTTAGAGTAGGCGCTAAAATATAAGGATAGGTTGCAACCCTTAAATCCCTAATAGAGACAAAGGGCTCAAGAGTAGGCTTTCGTAAGATAGCTCTTTTATCTCGTTTAGAAAGGAATTGTAGTTGTCTACAGCTAAGTTTAAAAATACTATAGTCCTAAGCAGTAAAGCGCTTTACAATACCCCGGACCAAGGCTGGCGTTACGCCTTCATATACGGCTATAGCGGTAGATGTGACGCCCGCTTGGAATTTTACTACAATCCGGTTCCTCCTCTGAGGAGTTGAATACTTAAATTTTAGCTTTTTAATGGGGCTAGCAGTAATGGCGGGCATTTGAAAAGAAGGTGTTGAAAAGTAAAGAAAAGAAAAAAGGGGTAAATACGGGGTTGCGGGGTAAACGTGTGTTATTTTTGGTCCGGGACTGTAGCAGCGGGGTTGAAAGTTGAAACACCCGCCCGCATGTTAGCCAAGGCAGAGCACTGGCAGGTACAGAAGGTTTTAGTGGGAAATTGTTAGACATATGACATCGTCCATCGGACAATACCTAAAATGCCATCCCGTCATCATTGCGGTAACTCGAAACACCTGAGTCCGGGCAGCACACTCGGTCGGTCGCCAATCAATTCGGACCTCAGGGCCATCTTTTGGCTCCGGAAAAAAAAAAAGGAAATAAAGAAAAAAAAAAAAATTGGAAAGAGAGGGACTTTGCATACCTACAAAAGGAAACCAAGGAACTCACTTACCTTGCACCATGAATGCTTCGGTTTGTAAGTGACCTAGATCGGACGTTGGCCATGTTGGTCGATGACGGGTGGAGGTGTCGATACCTATTGATCAAGTCATTTTGCTGTGTTTCTGAAGACCGGGATTGAAGGATTGTGATGATGGGGAGTTAAAAACTTGGGTACCTACCTATAGATAAGTTTTCTCATCCGCAACATGCCTCATCTCCCAAATCGTCCTTCTCCGTGACTTCGTTAAGTCCTCGTGAGAAGGTGCAACCAATCGTATGAACAAAGAGACAACAGGTAAGACGGAGAGTTCATAATCGATCGCTAAAACAGTTCAAATTCAAGAGGTAATATCATTACTGAAGCAAAGCAAAACCGCTGAAACGCCAAAACCAACGCTAAACACAACATACCGACCCAACCGAGTCCCCCAAGTCATAACAACGACAAGGTCATGATCTCATCAATATAACAGCATCGCCAGCACCATATTATGCATCATCATTGCCCTCCAGAACCTTGGCGACAACCACCAAAAAGAACCGTCGTCTGCTCAAACAAACTCATAGCTCTGCTCACTCCTGGCATCTTCATCCCACTCATCCTCACTCTTGACCACGTCGCCCGTCTTCGGCACCACCACCTCCTTCTCTTGCAGCGGAACTTCGTTCATCACCTCAACAGCATTCCCCTCACTCCGCCCATCAGCCCCCCAAATCTCCAACACTGCCTTTTTCACACTCATCGGCACTCTCTCCAACTCCCACAACCTCTGCACCCTCTCCTTCACCGGTCCTCCATCCCTCGTCACCAGGTTATAAATGACTTCCTTCATCGGGTATTCCATCTCGCACCTGTACAGCATCTCGTGCAATCTCGCCGGTATGTCGACAACATCCAACTGCAGATCTTTACCGAGGCTGAATTCCCTTTTCTTGTCCGCATTGTCGCCGCCGAAGGCGTGGGTGCCCAGGTACATGGTGGTGGAGTGCAAAGACTGTGCTTGTTCACCATGACTGAAGAGTCCCGAGGAGTTGGGGTGGGAGGCATCGCGGAATCGTGCGCGAACTCGTTCGCGGAATCGGTCAAACTTCTGTACATCGGGGCGGCCAGTGAACTTGGGCCGATCGTCATCGGCATCAACAACGTTCTTGTACAGTTCCTTGGTGCACCCCAGCAGCTCGACCCTCCAATCCCGGCCTTGGCCCCGTCCATTGACCTCAGGTCCAATGGTCAGAACGCCCTCCTTTTGATTCCATCGGATCGGGGTGCGCACCAAAGTGGATGGGTCAGGGCGGTCAGCCTTGGCCGCTGGCACGCTACTGCTTGGCTCCTCGACCAGCTCAAAGTAGGCATCTGCGCCAACGACGAGTTGGATGGTGATTGCTTGGGGCCGGCTACTGCCGTGTTTGTCGTATTTCGCAGATTTAGCCGTGTCCAGCGGGATAATGGTTCCCTCCTTGGCAAAGACGGGAATCTCCGACAAAGGACGGTGAATGTCCACGTAGCGGCCTCCATCGTAGACAAGACTGGGGTGGCGAATGTCAATGTAACGACGGCCCGTGTTGGGAAGCCAGGCGCGGACGCTGCCCATGAGCGTGGCTGAATCGTTTGGCGTAGTAATTGGCGCAACCATCAGGTCGGGACCAAAGTAGTATTGGTTGGGTACCGTGTAGGCTTCTTCGTCCTCGTGGTTCCAGTACATGGGTTGCACCAAGGGCTCGAATTCGTAGCAGGCGCGCACGTTCATGGTGTAAAGGAACGGGATGAGGCGGTACCGAAGTTGGAGGTAGTCCGTCATCACCTTGCGCGCTTCGGGCTCGTACAACCATGGCTCCTTGGAGTTCCACTGACTCTTTTCCGAGTGCAGTCTCAAAATAGGTGAGAAGCAGCCAAACTGGACCCAGCGCGCCGTCAGCTCGTTGGAGCGGACACCAGCGTAATGCCCGCCAATGTCGTGACTCCACCAGCCATAGCCAATGTTGGACGCTGTCGCAGTAAATTCGGGCTGGAAGTGCAACGACGCCCAGGTGATGAGGGTGTCGCCAGAGAAGCCAATGGGATAGCGATGAGAGCCGGCGCCGGCGTATCGGGAGAAAGTGATAGGCGTCGTAGTAGCTTTGACGTTCCGACGGCTGGTGAGGTAATGGTAGTGGTTGAGCACCCAGAGGGGGTCAACGCCAGGAATGCGCGATCGGTTGCCCTGTTGCCAGTCAATCCACCAAAAATCGATGCCCTCATCCTCCAAATTGGCCTTGAGAACATCAAAGTAAACGTCGAGGAACTTTTTGTCGGTGCAATCAAAGCGAATCGGCTCTTCCTTTGACGTGTCGTGACCCAGGGCCTTGGCCACAATCTTGTATTGGTCTTCAAAGGCCCGAATGCCGTCTGCCGGATGATCATTGACAGTCACCTTGAGGCCCATGTCATGGAGATTGCAGAGGAAGTTTTCGGGCATCGGGAACAAGTCGGGATTCCAGCTGTAACCTGTCCATCCGGAGCCGTACTTGGCAGGGATGTTGACCTTGTGCCAGTCCATGTCGATCACGGCAACATTGAGGGGGATTTTCTCGGTTGCGAACCTCCTCATGACAGCCAGGTATTCTTTGTCCGAGTAGGCATGGTATCTGGACCACCAGTTTCCGAGAGCCCATCGAGGCAGCAACGGCTGACCGCCCGACAGACGGTAGAAATCCTTGATGGCAGCTTTGTGGTCGCCGTGGTAGGCAAAGAGATAGCCATCCTTGCGGCCCGGTTTCCTGGTCGCGATCCAACCATCTTCGAACAGCATGGAGGCGCTGTCATCGAGCACGGCGTAGGCTTTGCGTGACAAGACGCCCGGCTCGAGAGGAATGCGCCCGTCGGCCCGGTCCAGGGTTCGGGCTGTACCGCCCAGATCGCCGTAGCTCTTGCCGTCGTAGCGCCACACATCGTTGCCAACCTTGACCGTCAGGCCGGAAGACGAGAATTCGTTCTTGTCGTAGGTGAGATGGAAGTATTTGGTCATGATCTCCAGTTTATCTTTGTTGTCGTCGACCTTGAACTCGGGGGTAGGGAACGACCTGAAGAACGCCGTTGTGGAAGCACGGTCTTCGAAGCCGCCATCTTGGGACCACTCAAATCGGACAAGCTTATCGGTGAGAAGGCTAAAACGGTAGTGGCCCTTTTGCCCTTGTCCTGTGACAACCGATTTCGGATTCGCGACAGGGTCGGCCGTAAAGGAATATCGACTGGGGACATGGTCTTGGGGCTTATCGGTCTTGTTTGCGAATGAATATCGGCTGGGCAGGTCTTTGGGGGGCTCAATGGTAGCATTTTTGGGGAGAGGCTCGGGTGTCTGTTGGGAAATTGGGCCTTGAGCGACATGGCCTTGAGGGTTTGGTTGAGAATGGAGGCGCTCGCCGAGGAACCTGCTTGTCATGGCAAGAAGTTTATTGTCAAGGTCCCCATGATTGCTGAGACGGTTTCTGATTTCTTGATTTCGAGCAATGCTTGATACTGCTAAGCGGCGTGCTTCAATCAGTTCGTCCTGGAAATCTTTGAAGGATCTTGGGGGGCTGCTCCGGGGCAAAGGGAACGGTAGCGGATCTGGCTGAACCGTTCCCGCTCGGGAAGATTTGGCGAGGGACTCGAGTATGCCGGCCCTTGTGCGTTCGAGGTGGAATTGCGAGCGTTCGATATGGACTCGCGAGCGCTCGAGGGATTCTCCAAGTTCTTCCATTCTCTTTTGTGTTTCCCCCAACTGGGTCGACAATGACAACGGGGCTTGTACCGGGGCTTTGGTTGTGGAATCTGACTGGCGTTTTGGCTCGGATGAAGCCCATGCGAAGGAGTGACCATTATGGCAGAAAGCCTTGGTAGGGGTGTCGGGTTTTGACTGCGCAGGGGCTTCCGTTTGGCACTCTGGTTGCCGTGTTGTCACGGATGGTACCGCCCACGCATACGAATGACCATTGTGCGAGAAGCTGTGCTCGGGGGTGGGTTGACTGAAAGTGGCCGCACAGTCTGGCTGACGTTTTGAGACGGGGGGCGGCGCCCAAGCAAATATGTGGCCATTGTGCGAGACAAACGTGTTTGCGCCTGGTTTTGACTCGGTTGTTTGCGAATATGCGCTTATGGACTGCGGCTGGTGTTGATTGAGAGCTGGAGCGGTAACAACAGCAGTTTCGGTGGATGGACAGGGAGCCGCGATGGCGGCGTTGACGGTGTCTTTCTTGGGAGCGTTTGTTGTGCATTTTGGGGCGACATCTTTTGTCGGATCATGTAGAATGGCTGCTACCACAAGTCGACTGGGGATTCGAGCCAATGGAGGTTTGGTAACTGGAGGCGCCCAGGCAAAGAAGTTGCCATTGTGCCAGAAGCCATCTTGGGCCGCGGTAGGATTCTGCTTCTCCTGGTCGTCGGCGGCGGACATGGCGATTGCAATTCGTATGGATACAAGATACGGAGCTTATTACCGGGATAGGGCAGTCAGTTCTACTACCTCTAGGGCGCCCGGATAAGCAGGATCAAAGGGAGAAGCAATGAGGGTTGAAATTGAAATGAAGATACTGGCGATGATGATAATGATAATGATGGGAGCTGGAGGAGGAGGAGAGAAGGCGGAGGGAACAACTGGTCGTGTTTCAGCAGCATCAGCTCATGGCCCTCCCTCACCGTCCACGTATTCCTGGCGTTAAACCGTTTTGGGGGGTTATCTTCGGTTTAGTGAGGTGCGTTCCTTGGCGGCGTCGTCGTCGATCATGTGCCCGTCTCTTATCCCGCAATTTGATAGGACCGGCCGCCCTGAAGGAACATGTTTACAGCGCAGATAAAACAACCTAATGGTTGACAGCTGCTAGCATCCAATGGACACGCTGCTAGAGTTACCCCAATTCCCCCAATTCCAGGCCTCTACACTACACGTGTTAGTCCTGCTCTGGGCACGTATCACCTCCACGGTGCGGGGAAAACCCCCGCTCAGATCCCCCCTCTTCCGTTCCAACGCTCCGCTTATCAACGGCACCTCCCGCTTATCGACCCGAGTCTTTCTCTTTCCTCCATTTCCGTCCATCTTCCACATCAGGTCTGGAATCCCATCGGCCACGCTGATTGTGCTCGCCGGGTTAGTGATATCCGATGTGCCCAGAACCACCGGGGACCTCCGACACATGACCTCGGCCCCGGCCTAGTTCCCGCTTCTGACCTCCGTGTGCTCCGGCTACCCTGTCTTTGTCTGAACGGGACCATTTCAGTGGAGGAGACATTTACCCTACCACAGCTGAAGGAGAGATGCGAAAGAATTATTTGGACATACATCACACTAATTACTCCGGACCTTCACCGCATCTTCGTTGTTTTTTTCTCTGTCAGATGTTTCACCTGATGCCTTCTCGTATGCCACCATCCTTGCAGCTTGAGTGTGAACCAGTGGAGTCCATGGGGTAAGTTGTTTTTATACTCACCTCACTCCATCACACATGAAGCAACACAAACTTGAAGTAACAGCTACCCAACTAGCAGTGTTCTAGAAGCTGAGAAACATAGTTCCAGGTTCCGTCAACCGCGATCATGTTAACATTTAAGAATGATGCCTTCCCAGGGATACCTTACCAAATCCCACGAGATACATACAAGGGTGCCATAACTAAGCAGGGTCGAAACCTCCACTTACCTTGACACCGTTCCCTTTTGCCACTTGGTATCCAAATGTCGGGACTCATCATAGAGTTTATCATCAGTCATCATCCAAAAGACCACGAAACAGCCGAGGGACTTTGGCAACACTGGACAGGAATGAAGTGGTTGTCAGGGATTGGCCAGCAAAGACACAATTCCATAGCCGATGCGGCACCGACGTGCGGACCGCTCGGACTCTGAAACCAACCACTTCAAAAGATTTTCATCATCACGGCCCCACCACCGCCACGGTGCCGGACTGCCGGTGGGATCGGAGTCCAGTGTGCTCCCTTGTTTCGGCCGAGGAAAGCTTCTTTTTACTTTGCCACGCCGCGTTGCCACGCCCGCGGTGGAGACACCAACTTATGCCTACAGTATTCAACATCGAAATCAAGTGGTTTGAGAGTGGAAAAGTCCAGAAAGTAACGAACCACATGCACATTCGGAACCGAGTTGGCGGGAGTAATCATGGATGTAGAACTACACTACATAACTGACAGTTGTTGCTCCACTTCCATAAGATCGGGCCATCCATTCCTTCAAATACGGGTACCCGACCTTCCATTACTCACACTCCATCTCGCGGTGAGCTTTTGTTACCACCACACTCACTGCAACAAACAACTCTCTCACTCTCGCCGCTTATCCATGTCTTATCGAGAAGGGGGTTATTAAGGACAGCGCCTTCTCTCTCCAGAACCCATCGTACCAAAAGGGTTGATGCGACCCAACGAACTGCAGCTGTTCCTTCTTGTCAGGGTCACCGCCTTTGATCGGATCCAACTTGCCGGGGTACATTCCTATAAGGGAATCTCGACACTGGACCCGACCTCTGCTCTCCACCCCACCTGCCACCATAAAACTGCTGTCTCGGTCTCAACTTCCGAGGTCGATCCTTCAGCCAACCGTGACTCGATCTTTCTTTCTTTCTTTCAAGAGCAGATTTCACGTCTAGGTTCCTTTCCTGGGCCATTTTCCAACATCTCAGCACAACACCCACTGTTTGCGACAAGTACTGCGTTGCCTCACTTGACCAATTTCAAGCAAGAGACTGGAAAGCGCCATGGCTGAGCCAGATTTGAAAGACCAAGTCGCGGACTCGCGCAGGTCCACGTCGACGGCCGCTGCCACGGACACGCTCACTCATGGCTCAACGCGTACTTCAATGCAGGCGGATCACCAGCAGAACCAACATCAGCTTGACGCTGGACAAGAAGCTAGCCATGATAACGGAGAGAAACAGCAAGAGCAAGCCGGTCAAGCTTCACAACCAGTCACCGAACTCACGCCAGCTGTACCTATTTCCGCCGAACCCGTGTCCCTCCTGACCGGCGAACCTCCGAGCGAAGCACCTGTCGTCGAGCAGCCTCCCAAGTACTCGATTCACCCAGCATGGGCCAAGCGCCTCATCATCTTCGGCGCCTCCATCTCCGCCTTCTTCTCGCCCCTCACCGCTCAAATCTACCTCCCAGCTCTGCCTACCGTAGCTGACGACTTCCATGTTACCGCGTCCAAGGTGACCCTGACGGTGACAACCTACATGATCTTCCAAGGCATCACGCCCATGTTTCTTGGGGGACTGGCAGATTCGGCGGGCCGTCGACCTGCCTACGTCATCTGCTTTGTCATTTACATCGGGGCCAATATCGGTCTGGCCTTGTGCAAGAACTTTACGAGTCTCTTGATTCTCCGAATGCTGCAGAGTGCAGGGTCGAGCACCACCATTGCTCTTTGCCAAGCCACGCTGGCAGATATCACCACCAGTGCGGAACGAGGACACTACGTCGGCATCACGGCGCTTCCTCAAGTCTTGGCTCCGAGTCTCGGTCCAGTGGTAGGCGGTCTGTTGACCAACTACCTCGGCTGGCGCTGGATCTTCTGGCTGCTCACCATCATGGCTGGCGTTAACCTTTTGGGCTTGCTCATGTTCTTCCCCGAGACTTGCCGCAAGATCGTAGGCGACGGCAGCGGTCGCAAGGATTCGCACTGGATATACTGGACTGGCTGGCAGCTACTCCGCGACAACCTAGCCCGTCGCGAACGCCGCAGGGAGCGGAAGCGTCGTGAGGCTGAACTCTCCAAGGAAGACCCGTCCAACCACAACAATGGCCTCCACCTCACCGTCTCAACTGCCTCTGCCCCCCGTCAGAAGATCAAGCTCAGCCTCACCACACCTAATATCCTCCAGTCTCTCACACTTCTCTTCCGCTCCAAGCAGCTCGCCATCCTTCTCTCCTACTCAGCTATTGTCTTCTCCGGCTTTTACGCCATCGGAACCGCCATGCCTAACCAGCTCTCGACCCTCTACGGGCTTAACGACATCGAAATCGGCCTCATGTACCTACCCATGGCTGGTGGTTCCATTGTCACAGCCTTTGTTATTGGCAAGGTTATCACATGGAATTTTCACCGCCATGCCAGGCGCCTGGGCATGGTAATCGACAGAAGCCGGCAGACAGATCTGACTGCCTTCCCCATTGAGCGAGCGAGACTGGAGGTGGGACTGCCGCTCTTGGCGCTGACCAGTGCTGTGGTGATCTCATGGGGCTGGGCCATGCAGAGCAAGACCAGTCTGGCGGCGCCGTGTGTTTTGCTGTTCCTTCTGGGAGTTGGCATGATTGGATTCAACAACACGGTCAGCACCCTGGTTGCGGATATCTACCCGGGCAAGGCCGGAGCGGCGACGGCAGCCAATAACTTGACGAGATGTTTGCTTGGAGCGGCAAGCAGTGCGGTGATCCTGCCGATGGTCAACGGAATAGGAAGTGGATGGGCTTATACCATCTTTGGAGGATTGTATGTGTTCTTTGCGCCGTTGTTGCTGGTGCTTATGAGTAGGGGAATGAGGTGGAGGGCGGAGGAGAAGTGGAAAGATGAGGCCAAGGAGGAGAAGAGAAAGCAGGAACAGAAAGCGTGAGTGTGTGATGAGAGAAGCGGAAGGGCAAGCATAAGGTCGTTCAGCTTGATTTTGAAGGGGAGTAGGGGAAGGAGAACGTGTTGTGATACCCATTGCTTTCATCCAATTGCTTTTCAGCGTTGCATTTCCGGCGTCGGGTTTGGGGTCCGGGTCATAGACGGGATATAATCTCCAAGTTCAATGTGTAGAACGTCATATATGACTTTTCGTATTAGATTCAACGTTCCATGGTGTCATTTCACCTGCGGGCACTTTGTAGTGCCGCAAAATAGACGGCATACATGATAGACCAGGATTGTTTCGTCTCAATTCAAAATGAGAAGAAAGTAAAACTCTTACATGAGGAAAAGAAGGGAGAGTGGACCAAAACAAACAACTGAGTTATGAAACGGCCATGATCCCCGATTCGTTCTGGAAAAATCGCCAAAAAAAAGTTTCAATTGCGCCAGCCGCGAATCGAACGCGGGGCCCATCGATGGCAACGATGGATTTTACCACTAAACCACTGGCGCTTATTGATGTCATCTGCATTTGAACGTTGCAACTATGAGCATCGGCGGTAACCTCAAAACGCAAACCGGAGTTGAAGACATTGTTAGGGCCAAAAATTTGAAAGCAAATCAAAAGGAAACGGGATGTAATTAGATAATGTGCTGTAACAAACGAACTTGATACACGTATACTCCCTGGATGGAGATTACATCATGGTACGAGCCAATTTGGTGCTCCGGCGCTTGGGCAGGTAGGATGAGCGTACATGTGTTCCCCGGTGGGACGGTACTGGTTGGTCCGAACGTGAGGGGAAAAAAAAGCCGGTTGCTCGAGCAGTAACGAATTGAAAGGAAATGTCTCGTCACATCACGGCCTTTTTTTAACATTATCATCGCCGTCTGTGTAGTTGCTGACGAGTCAAAAAATATCAGCCATCTCGGAGCCGAGGGGGTCCTACCACCATCATCCGTCCAGAGCCATGACGACTGCTCCAACCCCACACGGCCGGGAAGACGATCCTTGCCCAAGAACGGCCTACCACTTCTCGGCTCCGGTTCCTGGGAACCAGTGGGGATCGCGTGCCCGCTTTTGACGACAGATAAACACAGCCCGCGCCATGCCCAATCTAGGAGGTGTCAATTGTCGTACGTCTCGGCAATTCCGGTCTGACTCCGGGCCGCTGACAACCAACACCCACCCACCATTACCAATCGCTGTTTATAATAAGCTGCGTAGTCATCCCCAACAACGCTGATGATTGTTTCACCACCTCCAGTTCCAATTGTCTTTCAAACACGAAAGGCAACATCATCATCAACCTTGAATATGGAGAAGGGAACCTCTCTCCCGGTGGCCTACACGCCCACGCCGGCCCCAGCATCCACCACCCGATGCAAGTCCCTCAAGACCGTCGTCAAAGCCCTCGCCCTCGGTCTTCCGCTCTACGCCCTCTACGCCTGGCACACCAACCAAGCAATCATTCCATCTCTCTCCCGCGCCAATGTCAACTTTGCCTCCCAATGCGAGCAACCTCCCCCGCTCAAGCCCAGTCAAAATGAGAAGCTCGACAAGGCCTACGACTTCCTCTCCACCGAGGCATTCCTCAACGCCTCCGTCGCCCGCCTCTCGGGCGCCGTGCGCGTCAAATCCGAGTCCTTCGACGATCTGGGCGCCGTCGGCGAGGACCCCCGCTGGGACGTCTTCTACGACTTTGCGTCCTACCTCAAAAAGACCTTTCCCTTGATCCACTCCAAGCTGCAAGTCGACAAGGTCAACACCCACGGTCTGCTCTACACCTGGGAAGGCTCCAACAAGGACCTCAAGCCGACCTTGCTCATGGCCCACCAGGACACCGTCCCCGTCCCGCCCGAGACGATCCCCGCCTGGACTTACCCGCCTTGGTCCGGCGAGTACGACGGCAAGTACATCTGGGGTCGCGGCGCAGGCGACTGCAAGAACCAGTTGATCGCCATCATGGAGACGGTTGAGCTCCTGCTCGAAGCCGGGTGGGAGCCCAAACGCACCATTTTGCTGTCTTTCGGTTTCGACGAGGAGTGTTCCGGTCGACAAGGCGCCGCTCATCTATCCAAGTTCATCGAAGAGCGTTACGGGAAGGATTCGCTGGCTGTCATCGTCGACGAGGGCGCCGGCTTCGAAAAGACATGGGGCACCCTCTTCGCCAAACCGGGCACTGCCGAAAAGGGATACACGGACGTTTACATCACGGTGCGCATGCCGGGCGGCCACTCGTCTATCCCTTCGGACCACACCAGCATTGGCGTCCTCAGCGAGCTCATCACGCGCATCGAAGCAGAGCAGTACCGCACCCATCTGGAAGAGGAAAACCCGTACTTCACCCAATTACAATGCGGCGCTGCTCACTCGCCTCAGTTTTCCCACAAGCTGAAGAAACTGCTTGCCCATCGGAAGCGCCACTCTTCTTCTTCTTCTTCCTCCTCTTCTTCTGCTGAAACCTGCAAAACAAAAGACTACCTAGCCCTCGAAGCCGCGCGCGAAGGCGGCCCAGCAATCAAATACCTAATGCAAACCTCTCAAGCAGTCGACGTCATTTCAGGAGGTATCAAAACCAATGCTCTTCCCGAACGTGTCCGCGCAACAATCAACCACCGCATCAACATAGGCGAAACTCCCCAAGTCGTCTACGACCGTCTAACCAACCTCGCCGCGCACGTCGCCAAGAGACACGGCCTTTCCCTCCACGCTTTTGATTCTCCCCCCTCCTCTTCCTCCTCCTTTGATTCCTCCTCCACAGACCTGGAGGTGGAACCCCCCAACTCCCTCATCCTCTCCAAATCCTCGCACGAACTCCTCGTCGCACCCATTACCCCCTCCTCCCCCACCAGTGGAGGACCCTTCGCGGTATTAGCAGGCACCACCCGCGCTCTCTACGGTGAACAAGTCATTGTCACCCCCGGAATCATGACGGGAAATACAGACACCAGATACTACTGGGACTTGACGAGACATATCTTTCGGTGGGGACCGGGGTATGATCCTTCTGACGACGATGCTGGACTGGGTAATATCCATACGGTCAATGAACGGGTCAGTGTTAGGGCGCATGTGAATGGTGTGAAGTGGTTTTGGATGTTTTTGAGGAATATGGATGAGGTGAAGGGTGAGTGAGGTGGAGGTGGATGGGGAGTGAGGTTGCGTGAGGTGTAATATTTGGAAGAAGATGGGGGGATGGAGCGGTGGAAAGATGGAAGGTAGAAGGTTGATGGGGAGTGAGGTTGAGTGAGGTTAGAATGGGGTTCAGATGGTACATGGTGGAAAGATGGATGGTAGATGGATGGGAGGAAACAACATGAATGCCTCGGGGGCGATGGGCAAGCGATAAATGAAAATGAAAGAGAGGGAGAGGAAGGGACATTTGTATCAACGGGGGTGGAATGGAGGATGTTGATGATGCCGTACATGAATTGATGACGAATGAGGAATGAAGAGTAGGTACCTCCAGCGTATTCCTCTTTAGAAAGAAATATGAAATGAACTGGTTTTGGGGAGTGGAATCTCCAACTTCTATTGGTACATCTCCATCATTTATCCTTAGTGCAGGACCAGTGATCAAATCAGCCTAATGCGACCTCCCAATGTCATCCTACCCAGCTGATTGTTCTGAAGATGCACGCCCCTGAAAGCCGCCTCATTGTCTAGCCAGCCATTGTGTCTGGTTCAGGGGACTGCAGTATGCGCATGTTCCCTCGACAACCAATGCATGATGCAGGAGGTGTTGACTTCTTGTTGGATTGATACACCACTTCGAGTTTTTGGTCATGTACGATTCCCATTTCCCTTGTCTGATGTCCATATTCACACCATATGGCAATTTTTACACATTATCATTCTCATATTTTGTTTCTAGAGAATCTACCTGTGAACTCCATTGGATCTCAATGTTTACCGAAGTATGGGTTGCCCGCTACGCCGAACTCCGTGAATACAGCAAAGAGAACACCTATAATCATGTACTCGTCCACCTGGCCATGCACAATGCGAATACCTTCCGTCAGCAAGCTCGACACAGAAACTCCTTGACGAGAATCTTTGAGCAATAAATCGCAAGCCGGCCGGTGACTAGGTACACCAACCACGTCCTTGGCGACCTGTTTCAGCCCATCCAGCCACAAACGCCATCCCGCCCTGGGTCTTCCAACCAAGGGGAGCCTCCATGCAACATGTCTCGCTCGCTTGTCTCTCGCTTACACTGCTCGCACAATCACTTCTCAGCATAAACCGCCTCATATATCTCCGACATCCTCCCACAAACATCATCAAACTCGTCCTCATCCAAGCGACACCACACTTCCATGGTGCTCAACCACAAAATCTTCTCCAGATCCTTACCCGTGGTCTCAATAATCCACTTTGGATCTCCCCACAGGCGCAAAAGCTTGCCCGTCTTCTCATCCATCTCCACCAGTCCCGTTTTACTGTTGACCACGTCCGAGAAATCCGGTTTGACGCCGTTGTGGTGGAAGAACATCATTTTCTTTTGGTCCTGCTTTAACGTGAGGTTACCCACTGTTGACAGCCACGATGAGTCGAACAGAAAAGGGGAATGGGTATCGATGGGAGCTGGATGCTTGGCTTCTTTGGCAGCTTGCTGCAATGCCCGCCAGTCCTCGACAGGATCCATCTGCTTCATGAACATGCCGCGCCATTTCCCGTTGGCGCTGCGGCCGTGGGCTTTCGGCATTTTCTTGACGTCATAGAACCCCTTCTTTTGACCTTGGGCGGAGGGGAGCTTGGTCCATTCCATGGGTGGGCGGTAGCCGCCGTGTTCGACGGGTCTTTTGGCGAGCTCTTGGAGGACGTACGCAGCTTGGAGAAAGGTCTCCTTGTCGCCTTCTCCCGGTCCGTGCTGCGAGAGGATGGCCATGTAGTGCGTGGGGCCGTGGTAGTTGTAGTAAGACGCGAGTAGGAGGGTGTCGGCGTGCCGAGCTTTGTCGAGGACGATCATGCCGCTTTCGGAGCTCGCGCGGTCGGTGAGTTGCGGGACGGGAATGCTGCCGGCAATTTGGTAGAAGTACTTGGAGCCGGAGGGGACCCAAAAGTCGGGCCAAGCAATGAATCCCGTAGACTGGAAGGGCTCTGCGCCCGGAGCGAAGATCTTGTCGGGGTTGTTCGCTATGATGATGTCGGCGTCGAGGAAGAGGATGTTCTGAAAAGTGGAGGTGACCATGGCGAGAAACTTCCACTGGAAGCGATCGAACTTGGGGGGATGAGGGTTCAGGTGTGCCCAGATATCTTCGAGGTAGATACAGGCCGCGTTATAATGCGGAACGAGATTTGCGCAGAGATTGTCAATCCAAACCGAGGACGAGTCGATGACGATCTGAATGGGAAGCTTGGAGCCGGATTGGCGCGTCATCACGAGCAGAGTGATGACTTGACCAAAGTTGCCCTTGCCGGCTGTTGTCACGATACCGGTCGTGTCGGCATCGTAGGGGAGGTGGCGCGCAAACTCGGGGAGTGTCTTGATGAAAGCAGCGTGGGACTTGCTCAAATCACTGACCTCTTTGGGATTTGGCTTCCAGATCTCGGGGCGAGCACGGTCAAAGTCGGGTACCCAGTTCAAGGCATCTACCTTTTCCTTGAACGTGAGAGGTGGCGAATGAGGTCGGGCTGCCTCGAGACGGGCAAAGAACTCGACCCAGAAATCATTGGGCTCGTGAGGTAAAAGTCGCAGTCGTGTTGACTCTTCGGCGAGGATGGCGGGGCGGTGGTGGTAAAAGTAGATGACCGTGAAGAGAAGAGGGAGGATCAGAGCAATGTACTTGAGGCCGCTCAAGTTGGGCGAGCTTCCGATCACCATGGTGACACCCGCAAACTTCAAGCGCGAAGCTTGAGTAGCGCTTCCAATTTTGTGGTGTTGAGGAGACGAAAGGTGACGGCGGGGTAATCCGTCTCCGTCAATTGGGAGGAAAGATGTTTAGGTGTGGGAGAAAAAGGTGGGTCGGTAATCGTCTGACTGCCAAGCAAAGAAGGGAATGGGAAGATTCAGTGGTTGACACGAGTCTGGACAATAGTTTGGTGTGGCAGAAAAAAAGAAGGATGACGTCAGCCGTCAGATGGAAAGATGACTTGGTGTGTGGTTGCTCCCGTGTCTCTTAAGTTCTCCCTTGGAGGTCCTTCCACAGGTCCCTTTAAGGTGACTTCCGCTTTGTCTCGCCCTATTTGATTCGGCTTCGAGCAACTGTTGGTGGTGGGATTCCCAAGCAATCACAACCTACCTAACCTGGGGTAATGAAACCTTCATGAACGGTGGAACCGTCGAAGGAATGGAAAGCACATTCCGCACAGTACAAGCACATTTATTGTGCCACTTCCCGTTCAACGCGCGTGAAGCCTCCAATGATTTCTCTCTGCCAAGTGTTTGGAGAATTTGGAAGCAAACCAAATCTCACCGTCCGGTTGTACGGCAGGCAGGCAGTCACTTGCCTATTGCAACATCCGCTTACATTGTACGACCCATGCTGATATCTTCCCTTTCTTCAGTGAACTCAACCTTCTCCTATTCTACAAAGTCATCCTCGGCTCGCCTCTTCAAGATTGTCAAAGATTAGGTCATGATGAGTAGCCTATTTAATTCCTCTTTCGGAACTTTAAAATGGCAACAACGGCTTCGGATGCCAAAACCCGTCGTGGACCAAACAAACCCTAAATTGGCATTGGAATCTGAGCCAGTGGATGTTCTGGCAATTCCCAAGTTCGCACTGTAGCAAAAGCACCAAGCCTAGGCCCTTGGGTTGAGGTGCGGTGAGCACTCTGACATTTATAGGTATACCTCTACCTACATGCTTCGCTAAGGATAGGGTAGCCTCCGTGGACCGACCTTTGCTGATGATACCCTAGCAATACGATGTCGATCAGATCATTCAGATGCAAGGTACACGTTTTGCTAGCGCCAACAACATAATTCCAGACCACGAGGGTGAAAATTTTCTACAACTTCAATATTTTTAACTGGCCAGTTGGACCGTACATTAACAGGCTACGAGCTGAGGGTAAAGGGGTATGTTCATCTACCAGGAAGCCACCGCCGCTTCATTGCCGACCACGAATAGTGCTCGTAGATGATCATCAACAGGGATATAGGTCAGGATCTTCAACATGGGCTCACTATGCTCAACGTCACGACGATGTCGTTTAAGCACTCGACGAAAACACAACAGGTATCACTTTTAAAACGCAAAAATTTCTTGTGGATTACGGGGCAGAACGTGATCTTATTGTTTCTCCATCCGTTGAGTAGAGGTATCCGATATACGCTTGTCTGGCTTGCGATGCACTGCCGTCGCGACTTGGACTGTTGTCCCAGTATCTGCAAGTGGATCACGGGCTGGCTATGTGATCTCCCCATACTCAAGGGCACATATACAATCGTCGACCTCGTATCTCTTAGAATTCCTCTGGCCCGAGGAATCCTTCGGCCACTTCTCAGGCGGCGGCGACAATGCAGCGTTCCTCTTAAACTTCCTCGCGTCCAGCCAGCTCATGTCCAGAGCTTCAAGGTCCGTACCTGCCCGCCTCTCCTTCGAATTGTTGTCCCACAAGATCATTTCCCACTCGTCGTCCGACTTTTCCTCTTCCAACCAGCGCTTCCACTTCAATGGTTGGTGGGCCATGGAAAGAATCTGAAGAAGCCCCGCCACCGTTGCCCAGCAGTCGTTGGTCGCGTTGTGCCAGGCAAACCCCTTGCTGCCAAAGTCGGAGGAGGCGGACGCCAACGAGACACCGAGCGAGTAGAGCATTTCCTCGGCCTTGTTTCTCGGTCTGCGAAACCGCATATGGAAAAGCCTGAGGAGTTGGAAGTCCCACTGCTCTGCGCCATGGGCGGTGATGTCCACGCCGGCCTCGCGGAAGACCGAGGTCTCCAGTCGGGCGTCCCAGTACAGAACGATGACTTTGCGCTTCTTGCCCGCCGCCGTTTCCTTCCGGGAAAGACGCCTTGTCGACAGCCACTTCATCTTGTTCGTGATGATAGCCATTGCCTTCTCCCTGTTACAGAAGTAGCTCTTGGCAAAGTAGCAGCTGTAAGGCATTGCCTTGTGGGACTTTGCCTCGACCGTCTGGTGTACGAAGCAACTGTCGGCCGTGAAGTTCTTGTACTTGCGCATGATGCAATGTACAGAGCGGATCTTGGGAAGCGCTTTCTCGACAGTGAACTTGCGTGACGGCGAGCGATGGTCTCGGGGGTCGTACCAGGCCATGCCAACTTCTGACAGCCGCTCGTAGTACGATGCGAAGGAAAGGTGGTCAACACACTCAAAGTCGATCGACACGAGGATTGTGTCTTTGAGCTGGTTGTACATGTCCTTGAGGTCTTGAATGCTGGACACGGAGGGAGGTTCGTAAAGATATTCGTCGACCTGTCTTCCGGTCGACTCTACTTCCTTTGACGCCATGTTGAGGAAGGAGGTGGGAGGTTGGAAGATGTTTGAAGGTGAAGAACAGCCAACGCGACTGTTCACGAGAGAAGAGGGAAAATTTATATAGAAAATCAATCGTTACGCGTCTCGTCGATGTCTCGAGCGAAGGTTGAGGTTGTCGTGAGGTTGACCTCGAGTGTTGAGAGGGTGAAGTTCAAGTTTGAGTTGGTGAGGTAGTGGAAAGATGGCGAGGTTGTGGATGACGGATTGACAACAGGACGTGGGCTTGCTGGTTCTATTCAGTCGACTTTATAGATTTACGTTTGAAGGAAGGGAAAGTCAGGTCTGAATTTCGGGAAGTCCTGGTGAAGGTAAATAGGCAGAGTACGTGTGCTGCTGCGGACTTCGAATTCCATCCCGGCGTTCTTGCGAACCTGATGCTCCTGCATGCAAAGACTGAATATCCTACCGGCATTCACTGTGCTTTGCAACTTCACTTCCTTGAAGCGGGGCTTGTAGGCAGGAGCACCCTTTCTGCCAGCTGCAAGCCGGAGGTGCGGAAGGTGCGGAAATTTCCAGTTCACGTCTCCAATGTGCAGGAGAACTCAGGGAAAATACCAGGCACTCCCTCTCCGCTTGACGAGAAAAAGTTGAACAGTCTTCCTTCCCTTTCTAGACTATCACTGATCTGTAGATACCGAACCTTGACCAGGACTGGAAGGAGCAGCAGAAACCGAACTCGTGAAGATGGGCAGGAACTTCTTTCAAAAAGTCCCTTTCCCATGAGTGCAGCTACATGCATGACTGGCTGTACGTTGTGACAACTCTGTGCGCATTTGCCTACAGAGGTACATTATAATATATGTGTGAACCGGAATATTGAAGTACCCCTATTCACATTTCTTCTCACAGATTTCTGATGTCCGTCCAGTTAATCGCCGCCCATCCGGCTACCTTTATTTATGCAGCAGCCTACGTATATCGGACTTGCGTCCTCTTACCTCTTCCAAAACTGCCAGATTATCACTGAAAAGGAGACAGCCACTTCTGAATTGATGAAATTGTATGAAATCTAGGTCGCTCGCAAGTACCCCCCTGCCGTCCAACTTGACAACCCCGACTTTCGGCCTCACAAAGCCCATTCGACGTCTTCCACATATCGTTTCTTGCGTCCTCGTTTGTTCCTTCTCGGCGCCTTGTGGGACCAGTCGTTGTGGTTCGAATTGAGGGCCTTGACGGTGCCATCGGAGTGCTCGTGCTCTTCTCCATTATCTTCCCCGTTCGGCCAACCACGTCCGCAATCACGATCATCCTGAGCATCCTCAAAACCGTTGTTCTGATCTGGGCTGTCCATGTCGTCAGGCCAACCACTGCTCGTGTTGTCACCCGAGCTGTCCTTGGAACTCTGGCTCCAGTCGTCGAACCCATCCATACCCTCCGGCCACCCGGTGCCGGACCTGTCGCTTGGGGTCGCCTTGCCCGATGTCGACTGTTCGAGATTCAAGTTCGCCATCTCGTCGACAGGAAGTCCGAGCATCGAGTTGGAGGCAGTAGCAGTCGTGGCCTCAGCCGGCTTCCAGGACGTCGTTTGTCCTGGTCCTTGGTGCTTCCAGTTGTTGCCTCCACCCCTCTGGTATCCTTTGCCCTGTCCTCTGCTCTTTGTCTTTGTCCTCGGAATAGGCGCAATTGCCAAGTTCTTCTGGTAAACTGCCGGATCAACCCACCCGAACGAGATGGGAGCAAGGTCTATTTTGTGGTCAAACCAAGTAACCCATTCGGCTTCGGTCATCAACATGAACCGCAGGAAAGCAATGAGCTGCACGACAGTGTCATTGCACCCATTGTGCAACGGCAGGCCCGTACCCAAAGCGCCTAGGGAACCAAAGGCCTTTTCACCCTTTGTCTTTGCGTTCCTTGAGTTTGGGTTCTCATGGAACCGAGCACGAAATGGATACCAGATTTGGATATCCCATAGCTCGATGTTTGGGCACAAAGACGCGAGATCGAGGCCGCCATAGTAAAAGGTGGACTCTTCGCAATGCGAGTCCCACACAATGACCTTGATGTTGCGGGTTATACCCGCGGCCTTCTCCTGCTCTGTCAAGTTCTGTGTTGAAAGGTCCTTGACGATTTCAGCAAGGCGTCCCATGGTCTCGGCTTTTGTGAGGAAAGCCGAGTCGACAAAGCGACAGTGGTAAGGCCTTGCGTGGTGAGCACGGCCAGGGTCCAAGTGGGCGTGGCGATGGTACGGTGCCTCGCAAGTCTCCTCTGTCTTATCCCGGAACTCTTCGGTGATGATGTGCTCCGAGACTATGAGCTTGGCAAGGCTTTCAAGACGGTCATTGCTGCCGTCACTGGGATGAGGGTGGTCGGTTCTGGATAGTCGATTCCTTGTGTCGTATGCCGCGACCCCCTGCTCCGACATCTTCTGATATTGAGTGATGCCGGGCCCGGAGAGGTGGTCGACATTTTCAAAATCGACCGATAGGATGACTGGGTCTTGTTGCTTCAGCACATGTCGAAATTCACCGAGTGTCTTGTAAGTCCACACTGGGGCCGGTTCCGTCGCAGTGATATGCACCATGTTGTCTAATGCGAATTGTTAGCACGAACTACTTTGCGCAGTAGCACCAACAGTCTTACCTGCTGTATATCTTTGGTCAGAAATGACAATGAGGAGAAGAAGGATGTTTCAGTTCGCTGTGATGTGAGCTGAAAAAAGATCCAGCTGTGGTTGTAGTGTTGAGGAGAAAAGAGGAAGTTCGATTTCGAATGTGGGAGCTGACTTTATATAGGTTGTGGGAGAAATTGGGAGCTTTATACACTTCTACAGGTTTGAATATTGTTTCATTAGAGGTGCGAGGGTCGTTGGTGAAGGGAACTCTCAAGGTTTTGCGGGTAAGGCCCAAACGAAAATGTGAGGTTTCGGTCTCCACGGCCGCTGACAAGACAACCCACAAAATCAGGTCAGATCCAAACCTGGAAGGTTTGGAGATATCTGGAGGGAATGTTCAGTGAAGGGGTACTTTTTGTCTTTGAATGAGATTTCACCGGGACCGCAAGTATCGCACAAATGAGAGAAAAGGTTTAGTTGGTATTATCAAGCCAAGCATCCATCCCACTTTGCTTTTGTCATCACCACGAATCGAAGAAACGCGAGAACCTCCGCAACCGTGTCGTTAGTTGCGTTATGGAGAACGGTCGATGACTGTCCCTCGGAATCCAGCGCTCCCACGACGCCCAAAGACGCAAAAACAGTCTCGCCTGCTGTCCGGTAATGGGGAAAGCGAAGGCGGAAGGGCATCCATATCTGGAAGTCCCACATTTTAGTGTCGGAGCCGAGGTCGTCCAAGTTCATTCCAGCTTGTCTAAAGATCTTCTATTCCATCTCTGCACACCAAACGATGATTCGGACTTGTCGCTGGGCACCTCTTTCCTTCTCATCACCGGTGAGGTTGCTAATCGTAGCCTGCCTTATAGCATCCTTCAACCTTTCGACCCTCTGCTCCTTGCTGAGGCCGATGGTCGACCTTGCAAACGAACAGTGGTAGGGCCGCGCTTTGTGCGGCGCTGGGGCCTTGCTGGGCTTCTTGGTGTTTTTAGGATGGAAAAAAGCAGGGCAAGTCATCTCTGTGATGCCCTTCCACTGGTCAATGACAATGTGGTCGGCGGTGATGTCCTTTGCAATGCTTTCAATTTGCGCGACTGCAACCCTCTGCTGTAGGGATTGTTGGTTCTGATGACTGTGAGCGATTGTGGTGTCATGGTTACCCCTAGGACTACGGGTATTGCTGTTAAAAGTTTTGCCAGTTCGCAAACTGCCGTGTCGAAATCGTTGCTCGGTGGCATGCGTCTCATGCATTTCTTTTCCCTATTTCCCGAATTTCAGGCATCCGGCGTCCGGCCTCAGGCTGAAATTAGGTATGGTCGTAAATATCCCGTTCCACACAGTGGAATGAAATTGGAGAGAGGTTGATCCTGTCGTCGAACTACGCTACCTACTCGCCGCTCTTCAAGATTTTGAACCGCAAGAAGGTCAACATCCATAGAGATAGTAAGGACCCTAATGAAGGATTTTGGCTGCTGATGTTGTTGCTTGCCGTATTATACCTCTGGACTGGATGGAAAGGGTGTGTTGGACATGAAATGTTCTTGATGGGAGAGCCGGAAATCATCTTATAGGATGACGGAAGAGGAAATCGCCATCCACGGGGCCCATTTAATGAAAACAAAACTAGGTACAAGGTTGATGGATGGTTCTTTCCGTTAATAAGAGGGACGTTGGGTATTGGGTTATTTATATGAAATCGAGTCGTCCATATATGACGGCCTACCATCTGTGTCCAAAGTCCGGACATCGGTAACTCAATTTAGTGTGTCTAAGGGTATAGAGGCAGGTAACGAAGTCAGCTGTATGAATCACGAATAGGTACCAGAGCCTCAGTTCTTTCCATTGTCCCGAAGAACATGTCGCGTTTTACCACCTCCTATAATTTGCACGTAGGCCATGAATGTGGACACTGAAGAAAATGAAGCTGATCATCAGGCTAAAAGACTTCCTAGACGCAATGAAAAGAAAAGGGAAAGTCCACCTGAACTATCACTGACGATTGAAGCTGAAACTTTGACTGAAGACCTGACTTCCGAAGCGCGAAACCCTGAGTCGCAACAAGCGTTTTCTAATAGACAATACGTGTAAAGAAAACAAGAATTGTTTTCCAAACATTGATTGTCTCCCAAGATCCAGAAGTCAAAAGTATAGGGTATAACCTTCTATACTGTAGTGGTTTTGATAGTGGCCTTTTAAGGTGAAGGCCGGCATTTGAAGTTCCAATTGAAAGGTCTTTGGGAATAGCTTCAAAAAGTTGGTTACGAACAGGAATCGAACAAAGGCCACAAGCAAGAATGAAAATAAAGAACTACTTCATTAACTGCTTAACTACTAAACCAATTGGTTATTTCTAAAGGAAGTAGTTGGTTCTTTCCATTGATAAAGGTCGCCGGGGGGAAGAGAGCGGAGGAAGGAAGGTAGGACTTTAAGACTTTGAAAATTTTCAGAATTTGGACCCGACCTAGAAGGATACTATTTTACAGCGCTTACCCCCTATAAGAAACATGCATTGGTTATTAAACATTAATTGTGGTTATTATCCAACAACCATAATACATGTCTAGAAACAGATTTTCCCACTAAGGTTTATAACTACCGGTACCTGGGTGGGAACACCCTCATACAGACCAGCTGACCTAACGTTAAGCCAATGACTACCATACTACGAGAGACCCGGAATCTGCCTTGAGCACTCCTCCCGCTTGAGGGCCCTATTCTTCCGGGCCCTTTGTTTCCTCGACCCGCCTCCTTTCCTTCCTGGGCTCTGGTCTCCCTGTTCGAGTGTCGTTTGACCCTTCCTCTCCTCACTTGCATCACCCAGGATGCGGACGTCTGAGTGCTGAAGTTGAAGGTTGTAGGTTGCTTGGCTAAGGGTGGCAATCTCGGCGAAGGTACCGGCGACATTGGCGGCTTCAGGGATTGGCTTGTCCAGTTCCATGGTCGTGACTTGCTGATGGGATAGCTGGATTTAAATGTTGCTGGAACCAGGTGTACCGTTCTGTCTGTTGTAGTTGCCCCCGTGAAGTGGTTCCTTCCAGCTTGAAGATTGCTTTGCGTCCAAAGACTGGCCATGCTTTCCCTGGATGTGGTTCCCATGCCCTTGCATCCGCTTCCTTGGCTGATGTCTCCTCTGGTTTCCAGGAGCCCGACTTATGTTGTCCTGATAAATGGATTCATCCAGCCAGTCGAATGAAATTGGAGACAGGTTGATCCTATCATCGAACCACGCCATCCACTCGCCGCTCTTTAAGACCTCAAATCTCAAGAAAGCCAACAATTGTGCGACTGTGTCATTTGTCGCATTGTGAAGAATTGTTGTGGGATTTCCCACATGGTCTGTCGCCCCGAGAACCCCCAGGCTAGCAAAAGCCTCTTCTCCCTTTGCTTGACCATTGTTCTTGCCGTTGTCCAAGCGGATGCGGAATGGCGACCACGCCTGGAGGTCCCAAGCTTGGATATCACTGCCGAGCTCGTGGAGGTTGATGCCAGCCTGTCGAAAGATTCTATCTTCAAGTCCCGAGTCCCAAAAGAGAAGTCTGACCTGTCTTTGGTCTCCGTTTTCCCTTTCCGCGGAAGTGAGATTCTGGCTCGTGAGGCTTTGGAGGATGGCTTTCAGCTTTTCGATAGATTGGTCACGGCCGAGGATCGTCGACCTGGTAAATCGGCAGTGATATGGCCGCGCCGTGTTGTAACGAACCGTTACAAGCACAAAAGTATATCGCTAGGATGATCAATAGACAACGGTAGTAGTAGCCAAAAGGTACTAATCGATTGTAGAAGCTATTGCTTGCTGGAGGGCCATAATAACGAAGGCCGGGAGGCCGTCTTATATACTAGCTCTCAACCGGTCCCGTAGTCCCGATATTTTGGGACTCCGGGCTTGCCCCGTAGTCCCGTTATTCCGGGACCCCGGGCTCCTCCTAATTAATTAATTTATCTAAACTTATTAATTAGATCGTAATACAATACCCCTCTTCTATAGCTTTATCTTTAACGCTATAATATAATTTTATAATACCAATTTATCCGTATTCAATACTTAGGTACTAATGAATTATATTAGTAATTACTTTAATGCCTATTGTACCCTCCGTCTCCCTTTCCTTCTAATTTATCCTTCTTATTAACTATATTACCCTAAATTTTTATAAGTAAACCTTTCTCTTTCTCTTTCCTTTATTATCGATATTACCTATTATACCCGTATTATATATTGCTTCGAATCGCTTTACTCAAAAGAAGGTATTTACTAATACGTTGGTTCGCTATATCGAATAGTTCGGTAAAGTTCCTATAATACTATACTCTAATTATTATTATTATAATCGATCCTACGTTGTAGATCGTTCGAAATCTTCATCGTACAGTAAATACATTCGTTGTAAAGTAGTGTACAATGTATTAGCTAATCCGGATTTGTAATATAAATCTTATTTCTTAATAGTTACTACGGGTAGTAGTAATTAATATAATACTAATAAATAAAGAGATAGAGGAAGCAAAGAGGTTAGAGGACGAAGAAGAACGATTAATAAGGGAAATTGCAATCCTTTAAAATCGTTTACTTTATACCCGGGAGTAAAAGCGCTATTTACTTCGTTATTAGAAGGAATATTTTAATCGGAGGATAACGGATTTAGAGGAAGAAATATCTAAAGGAACCTCCGCTAAGGAATCTTTTTCTATCGTTAGGCCTACTAAGGAGCCCGATTAATTAAGGGAATTAAATATAATAAGTCCGGAGTCCCTAGAATATTTAATAGTTTCGGCTAATTAAAAAACCGTTAGTAGAAGTTTATAATCTTATTTTTAAAGTTGAAAAGGTTTTCGATTAATTCCTATATATTACTTTTGTAGCTGTAGCCTTACTATTTAATTAAATATTCTATATTACTATCGCTATTGACCTTAAAATCCAATATAGTTTCTATAATAAATTTATTGCTATTATTCTATATTTGTACGTTTTTATCGATTTTAATATTCTTAAGTACCGGTTCTAATAGCGAAATATAAAATATAGGTTATTATTGTATTCCTTTAGGAAATTCAAGCCTATAATTGCTAGTATTAACTTTTTCTAAGATTTTAAAGGGTTCCAATTTCTTATAATTAAATTTATTGCTTAATCGTTTAATTTTAATATTTCGGCAAAGAAAATAAACCTTATCTCCCTTCCTAAAGGTCGGTACCGACGACCTTATATAGTCGTAATACCGGCTTATATAATCCCTAACGAAGATTAATTCATCCTTAAGAATCTAATATATTTCAGTTAGACGCTTAGTTCGAATATAAATTTATAGTACAACCGGCTCTAAATCCTAACCTTATTTAAAATTTATTTTATAACTATAATTCGTAAAGAAGGGTATAACTTTCGTTATTTCTATCTTCGAACTATTATAAAATATTTACGCCGTTAATAGTAGCTTAGCCCAATTATCTTATTTGTAATTAATATATACTTTAAAGTATACCTTTAAAATCTAATTTATTCGTTCTATTTACCTATCCGTCCTTATATAATATATAGTAAACATCTTATATTTAACTCCTAATTTATTTATAAATACTTACTAATATTTTAATAAAAAAAATTTATCTCTATTAATAATTAACTCTTTCAACTATTTATAATTGGAAGTAATATACTTTATAAATATATATTCTAATTACTTTATATTAATATCTTCTTTAAATAGGAGGAAGTATAAGAATTTTGTAAATTAATCGACGGCGATTAGTATACTATCGTACTCGATTCTTATAATTAGGTCGTATAACGTAAGTAGCTTTATAATAAAGTTTATAATTATTAATTACTAAGGTACTTCCAATATTAGGAATAATTCAAATAAACCGTACAATTTATATTAATTAGTTTTAATCTTATAGTAGGTTTCGTATTCCTACAATACCTCCGTAACAACGTCTTTCATCCCTAAAAACCCGAATAATTATTATATTCTAGCGAGGGTACAAATAATTCCTATGTGCCCTTCTTCTTTAAATAATTCGTAAATAGCTCGTACTAATTCTTTTTATAAAGGGGGAAGTACCTATAATTTACCTTTATATAATTAAGGTATTATAAAGGTAAATAGATATAATTTAATTTCTTCATCGTCGATTTTGTATTATACTTCGGTAATTCGCTAAATCTAATCGCCTAGGTCTATTTTAATTATATTATAAATATTAACTTTATTATTTATAATTTATTTTTATAAGGGTTAATACTATAGTAACCTATTTATATTAATTTAAAATAGAATAAGGGAAGTAGTAAATCTATTTTTTATTTTAAGGTCCTCCCTTTTTGTAAATACGTCGGCTCTTGCGTTTTTAAATCCCTTATAGTAATAAATATTAAAATTAAATTACAATAGGAATTCCGACTAACGGGTTTATTATTAGTTAAACTCCTTCGTAATTATAAAATATATTAAATTCTTATAATCTAAATAAATTTTAATTTCGTACTTCGTACTACTAAATTACGGCTTCTATTCCTTAAAAGCCTAAATAATAAATATAAACTTTTTATTATAAATTGGATAATTAAATTCGGGTCCTCGGAATACTTTAGAATAAAACGTAACGGAATATAGTCTTTCTTATTCATTATATTAACCGAATTATCCTCCTATAACCTAATTAGACGCGTCGGTTTCGATTTCGAATTCTTTATCTAAATTTAGGAATATAAGAATAAGATTGTCTAGAATTATTTATTTTAGGATTTTAAAAGCTTTATTATACTCCTAAGACTATATAAATTCAATATTTTTTTTAATTAGGTCGTTAAATAATTTAATTATACTTCCAAATCCCTTAATAAAGCGCTTATAAAAATTAATGAAGTTTAAGAATCCTTAGACTCCGGTTATTAAAGTAGGTATTAATTATTTAGTAATATTTTTAACCTTTATAAAGTCTATACGAATTTAGCCGGGTAAAATATAGTATTCTAAGAAATTAATTTATTAAACGTAAAATTTACTCTTCTAAGGGTTAACTGATAATTTAACTTTTTCTAAGGCGGCGAGGACTTTATGTACGTATTTCTAATATTATTCTTTATTTTTGGAGAATATAATAATATTATTAATATATACTATTACGAATTCGCTTGTAAATTATTTGAATATAGCGTTAATTTGTAATTAGAAGGAGGCGGGTATATTTATTAACCCTTAGGGTATAATATAATATTTATAATATCCTAGAAGCGTCCTAAATATAATCTTCTATTCTTCTCCTTTCTTTATACGGATTTAAAAGAAGGCTAATATTAAATCGAACTTTAAAAAGATAATAGCCTTTCCTAACCGGTCTCGTATTTCTTAAATTAATAATAATAAATATTAATTTTTAATAATATTATTATTAAAATACTAATAATTAATAACGAAGCGTAATTCTCTATTTTTCTTTAGTATAAAGAGTATAGGGGAACTATAGGGGGATTAGGATTCTCAAATATATTTTAATTTTAACCTCTTATCGATATATTTTTTAAACGCCTTTATTTATATAACGTTTAATTAATAGATTTTCTAATATTTAAATTTAGTGTCTTTTTTTAAGGGTATTTCGTAGTTCTATAAATTATATATTAGTAAAGAATACTCTAATAAACCTTAAAAGATTTTATACTTTCGATATTATACGGGGATATCTTTAAATTTATTATTTTTACTAAGGGGTAGTTCGGGAAGTAGCGTTTCCTCCTCGATATTATTTATAAATATAATTATCCTTAATAGTTCGGGTAATATAGTTTCGTATAATAAAGGGTGTTAATCCTTTCTATTAGTAATTAAAATTTCTTATTCTAGAGCTTCGGGAATTTATCGCTTCCTAACACGGTTGTTACTCTAATTAATATCCGGATTATACTTTTTTAATTATAATCTTCCTAAAATAGCGTTATATTTCCCAATAAATATAATATTAAAAACGATTTTTTATTTATTATTATTAATTATAATTTTTAATAGTATTATTTCTCTTAATATTTATCCCTGCTCGTAACTAGGGCTTTTCCCTTTAAATATATATATTTAATATAATTTTTTTTTATAAATTTAGGGAATCTTCTAATTGTTTACAATTTAGGGTATAATAAAGTTAATTAATAATTCTAAATCGAATATAACCGTTGTAATCCCTTTAAACGGCTAAATCTAATCTATTTAAATTTAGTAAATCGAATTGTCGCTTCAGTTTACTTTGAGGACCTATAGTGGACTAGTTATTTATAATCCTCTTATAAAGAATTATCGCTATTTCCCTATCTTCTATATCCTTTACGAATATAGTATTTCTTTGGGGGTTTAAAGCCGCCGACCGCTTTATTAATACTAAAAGATACTACTATAATTTCCTCCTTCTTAAAGACTAAGTATAATTATTAGTAGTAGTATCCTTTCTCTTTTAAGGCTTATTTAAAATACTATTACTAAACTTTATTAATTATATAAATAGTATAATTAATTTAATAATAGTCTTAGTATCGAATATATAGGGATTCTATATATTTTTAGGGATATTCCTCCTTTAATAAAAACTTTATAAAACGATTGCCCTTCTTCCTATTTTAAGTATAAATATCCTATAAATTTATAGAGTCTTTATAATATATTCTTTTAATAAGGACGGGGATGCTATTTTCTTAAACGTATTATAGGAAATAATTGTACTCTATTTTATAAAATAAATATTATAAATAAATATTATATAAATATTAAATCTAAATAATCTTCCTATAGGAAGGGTAGCCAAAATAAATTTATAGGTAATTCTTAATTTGCAATTTCCAAAGCTAATTATAAATAGTATAGATATTTATACTAAAAATAATTATTTTAATTAATTAGAATATTTATTTTAGAGGGTAAATTTCAACGAATTTATTTTCGTTAAAGGGGCCCGTATAATATTTAATTTAAAATTACTAATTATATTTCTTATTTAATCCGAATTTATTAATTTATTTAATATCCTTTATAATCTTTTTCTTAAGTCCTTAAAGTAATATTTAAATAAATATAATAAACTCTTCTAATTGCTTATTAGATTCGTAGAAGGAACCTTTATAAGACCCTCTATTTTACTAATAAATACTATAATATTAATAATTATATATAATCTATTAAACTTTAAATTCTTTAATTCTAAACGTTTTAAAATTACTAAAGCGCTTTAGGTTATCGATTTCTTATTAGAATCTTTCTATATAGTCTATATATTCGGTAGTATTAATATCCGAATCGGACCTTATAATATTAGATAAATTAATATAAATAACGGATTTAGTATATTTAATAGTATTGAATAACTATTCTTCTTTAATAATAAGGGCGAGCGGAATTCGGGCCGGATTATTAGAAATAAGCGGAATAGCCCTTCTATAGGAATTCTCCTTATCTTTAAAATCCTACTTTTCTTATTTAAATTACTTATATTAATTGTATTCGTTAAGAATTATATAATTATTAATAGATTTATTATTATAATTTACTATATAAATAGTATAGAGAAGTTCGTTATTAGTAATAGTAGCGAAGGTAGTAGCGAAATTATAATTAATTTTAATATTATTAATATCCTTACTTTTACTTTTATTAATAGAATTAATAGAGTAAGTAGGGACGGACTTCTATCCGTTAATTCGATAGTTATTACCCTACTTATTACTTCTACTATAATAATTATAAGTAAAGTATTTTAATTTATTATATTTATAATACTTTTTATCTTTATTAAATTTTAATTCACTATTAAATTTATATTAATTGTAATTATAATTATCGACTATATTTATATTTATTAGGCCGGTATATATACTATATATAGTACTACGATTATAATTATTATAATTATTACTGCTATACTAATATTTATAGCCGGTATTAGCGTAGGGGCGGCTATTGCTTAACCCTTTCTTGTATTTGTATTTAAAAAGGCGGTTATCGATAATAATAACTTTATTTATATATTTATTGAAACTTCTAATTTTATAATCGACTTTAATAAATTCGTCCTTAATATCGCTCTTCAAACCTCGGTAGAATTAATATTTAAAGCCTTCGTTATTCTAATCGATACGGAACGTAAATTATTTAAATTCGACTACGTAGAATATAACTAACTTAATCTAACGAAATTTATTCAATTTAATCTCGGCTTAACGGATTTTATTAGTAAATTTGAAGATTTAATTAATAGCGCCTTCAAAGTAATCGAAATTATTAAAAATCTAGATAGTTTTAGGATATATATCGGGCTATTTATATCCAAAATAATTAATTTAAATAGGCTAGAACTATTTGAGAGTTTTACCGGTTAAGAAGGAGGTAGTATATAAGACTATTTAAATAGGGTCTTAAATATTAAAGAACTTTAGGTTAGTATAAATCTAAATAAAAAATCCTCAAAAGTCTTCCTTCTTAGTACTATCGAATTTAGGAGGCGGATTAAATTTAATTTTAAAAAGTGGAGGATCGCTATAGACTATATAATCGGATAGGACCCTTATACTTAATTTATTAATAATTTCGCGGAGTTCAACTATAGTAATAATTTTAATAATAGTAGGGATAAATTCGGCTAATTTCTTACTTTAAATATCGAAGTAATATATAATATCCTACTTAGCGCAAAGTTTAGTAACTATAACCTTACGTCTATTGTTATCTTTAATACCGGTTATAGAATCCGCTCCGGGGCCGGGATTTCCGGCTATAGTACCCGGGAGACTAATTCTAACGGGTCCTCCGGTAGTAGGGTTATTAATCGGATTTCCAAATATAATAGTAAAAGGTTAGGGCGGGGTTTAAAGAAACTTAATAAACTTAAAATTGAAGAAACTTAAGTATAATAGTAAATCCTAGAATACTAATATACAAATTAATAAATAAACAACGTATAACGAACCGTTACAAATATAAGAGTATATCGCTAGGATAATCAATAAATAATAATAGTAGTAGCCAAAAGGTATTAATCGATTGTAGAAGCTATTACTTGCTGGAGGGCTATAATAACGAAGGCCGGGAGGCCGTCTTATATACTAATTCTCAGCCGGTCCCGTAGTCCCGTTGTTCCGGGACCCCGGACTCCTCCTAATTGGTCAATCTATCTAAGCTTATTAATTGGATCGTAACACGTGTGAGGGACTCCGGCCTTCTTCGTCCGGTCTCGATGCCAGAAGGCCTTACACGTAGTCTCCGTCTCATGCTTCCACTCTTCCACGAGAAGATGGATAGCGGTCGTTGACTTCGCTAGATCCTCCAAAATAGTATTGGAAGTTGAGGTACATGTATTGGTGGTTGTTTCTGGGGAGGAAGAACTATCTCGTAGGTCGTAAATCGCCACTCCAATTTCCGACATTTTCTGGAGGTCCGCGCCAATGTGGTCGTCCACTGTTTCGAAGTCTATCGCGCAAAAAACGGCCTGCTTCGTTGACTCCTTGAAGACCTGTAGTTCGTCAAAAGAGTAAACTGGCGGGGGCGCCGCTGTGGTCTTACTACCTCCATTGCGCGGCGCCACGACCTCGTTGTCGCTATCTAGAAAGTCGGAGTCCGAGGAGTACATGATTAGGCAGAGGTAAGTAGGCAGAGGTAAAGATAGTCTAACTGTTATCGGCTTGTACTGGGCTGGGTCTGAGGTGACTTGTGAGCGATTAAGAAAAGGAGAAGAAAGTTGAGCGAAGAGGCAAAGGACTTGCAGGCGTTATAGGAGTAGAGGTATCAGGAAAAGAAGGATATAATTGACGAGAGAGACAGCGGAGTGAATGCCCGTGATCGTAAAGGTTTGAGGTGGAGGCACTCACAGCAACCTGCACTAACAAGCTGGCAAGGTTCGTGACAGCCTCAGGGCCCAATTTGGTGAATAGCAACTCGACCCTGCATTTTCTCAGTAACCTGAAGTTTTAACTCCACCTGCCCCATTACATCTAGTGCATCAAACCTTCCAAGGTTTATTCCAGGTTGTTTTTACAGCCTTTGTGCCAACAGGCTCGACAGGTCACCTCGGTTTCGTGCTTCCACTCATCAACCAGGATGCGATGAGCGGTCGTAAATCTTAGGTTCCCAAGTCCTCGAGATGCGTAGCTGGGTATTAGACCTGATGGTGGTCGACGTGGTTTGGGAGATTGCGGACATGGAGGGACTAGATGTAATTCGCGGGTCGTAAACCGCGATTCCAGTTTCGGACATTTTGTCTACGTCGGTTCCGACGTAGTTGTCGACACTCAACAGTCTCAACGTCGACGGCACAGATGATTGCGTGCATTGTTGAAAACTTGAAAGCCTCCAAGTTCTCAAAAGAGTAGACCGGGGGGGGGGGGGGCGGTGTGGTCTTAGAGGTACTCTTACGAGGCGCCAACCCCTCGCCCAGGGCACCGAGCGACGAAAAAACCTCTTCCCCCTTGCTCTGCGCTTTGTGAAATCGGATCTGGAAGACCGACCACAATTGGAGGTCCCAGATTGTCACATCTGAGCCAGTAGCGGTCGAATCAACGCCGCCGAGATGAAGTAGTTGGCCCAAAACATTTCCAATTGATGGAGTATAGGAGAGGTGTTCTTATTATCCTTCACGAGGGCATAGTCCTAGGCCTTATGAGACCTGGTGCTTGAAGAAGTGTTGTGTAAAACGGTAAGGTTGTGTTCGGAGCCGCTGTAGAGCTTTAGAGATAACGTTGCATTACCGTATATGGTCCGCAGCTGTACTCCCTATATAGTAATATAATAATTAAGGCTCTTCTTACTACTTTATATTCGTAACTTTTAGGCTGTAAGAAATTGGAGTATTATATTTATAGGGGGCTTATAGGGGGTATAAGCGCTGAGGTGCCTCAAAGTTATTGCTTCTTACAGCCTTAAACATGGGGTTAAGGTCCTTTAAAGATATTAGAAATCTAGTATATCGCAGTAAGGATTTTGACCTTCTAATTAGTTAGATAGAGGATTTGGGGTAAGTGTAGGTGGTTGTAGCGATTTCTAACTTTTTATTGAAATCGAGCCGAATAAGAAAAATATAGCTGTAAGACTACACCTTACAGCCACCAAAACTGGGTTTTCTCTATAGCAATACAGCGGCTCCGAACACAACCTAAGCTCGTATTAGGTAGTTGTCTTCCTCTTATATATTGTCGGCTTTGGTCGTGTTTGGGAGCTGGGTTGACCTTGGGCTGGTAGGACTAATTGGCGATTTCTCGTAAGAACTGGGTCCAGCAGCGGGCACGTTGAAAGCCGGTAGAGGTACGAATTCAGAGATTGTTTTGACCTGCTAGTGGATAGGTAATGCGTAGATCAAGTAAAGGTATAAAGACGGGAGGCACGGTCTACTTTGCGTTTAGATGATGAGCAACGTTTCTCTATGCTAGACGTAGGATACTCCAAGATATTGAACTGCCTGTCTATTTTCTACCTCCACTGAGTAAGAGCGTAATCCAGAATTTTTTTTTTACTAACTGCAGTCAAAAAACAGTACTTTCGGTCAGCCAGCTGCACGGACCAGTGCTAACGCAGTAGAATCTATTTTACTAAGAATATTATTTGGGTAGCGCGCCCTATATGGTCAAAATTATAATTTTTAATTATTGTAGTATTGAGACGGTTATTATAGCGTTATTATAGAAGGGTTAGTGCTAAAAGGTTGATATTTTCATCAAAAATACAGCTTTTTTTTGCTGACGACGGTTAGAAAGATGCGCGGGCTCTGGTTGGCTAAATGCCTACGTGTGGGTCAGTTTTTCTGACCGGCTGACCGCAGTCAGAAACCGGTACAAATCGTTAGAATGGGAAAAAGATCACGTTTCTGACTGCGGTCAGATTCTAACTGCAGTCAGAAAAAAAAATAGTTCTGGATCACGCTCTAAGTATATAAGGCAGGTACCTCTACCTCTATGCATGCAGGTGCATACCTAGAGGTAGGTAACTTCCTGATACCTGTAGGCCAAGCTTTCAACTCGGAGCCGGGTTCGAGTTTCCTTCTTCTAGGGCACACATCGTTCATACCTGGGTAACCATTCTTTCCTTCCTACGGTACTTCCTATCGTTTAGAGTAAGCACACCTACCCCCAAACCACTATAGGCATGTATCTCTCGATGAAAGTCTTCTCCTGCCCTTTCCGTCTTCAACCTGGCCATCAAGACATCACTGCCCTTCTGCTCTCCTTAAACCGTCAGCCGTACCTCTAGGTATCTGAGGTAGGCTTGTCCTAGCCGAGCGACTAGAGGTACAAGTCTGAAGGGTCCTGGCCCTTTCCTGGTGTTGAAAACAATGTCATCTCAAAGGGCCCACTCCATTTCAGCTGGCCAACCGGTACCAACTTCTTCGGTCGATGGGGCCACAGCGGCAATGGGTTTCTTGTACGTTGCCATAGTGGACGAGATTTTGTCTTTTCTGGCCTCGTAGGCAGCCCACCACTGGTCAGTAGCACTACCAGAGGTATGTTTCTTGCCGCTGGATCTCTTTGCCGTCTTCTCCTCTGCTGAATGATTGCTAGAGGTACCTCCAGGCACCATACCTCCAACACCCGGCGCGGAAGGCGCTTGTGAGTCGAAGTCGTTAGAGGTATAGCGGGGAGTAGGCTTTGTCACACGTTTGGGCTGCTTGTTAACATACTAATTGCAAGCAGGGAGTCGTCCCTGACCATGCCTGGTGTGGTCATTCTCGTGGAGAGCCCTAGGCCTAGTGTTGAAGTTCTCCTGATAAATATCAGGACTCACCCAGGACATAGCCATGGGAGTAAGATTGATCAGTTCAGTCTTGGCCATTAACAAAATCTTGAGAAGAGACAACAACTGGGCTAGGCAGTCGTTCGTGGCGTTGTGTAGAAGTACCTAGGGTAGGTAGGTAGTTGTAGTTCGTATTGGGCCCTTGCAGGATAAGTGGTCCCTGTAAAGCCCTTCTATTGCAACAAGATTGTAGATACAGGTAGTGTTAGTGAAAGTACTATACCTATAGTACCTAGAGGTATACTGTAACTCCCAATTTCGCTACTTGGTACGGTTTATGAGTTGATATCACTATGTTCCCATCACGCTACTATATAGCAGATCTTCTGAATACATTCACAGAGTTTTCCGACGTCTTTCGTTCATTGGAGGCAGCAAGTAGCAATTCTCTCCGTTTCGGAAGGTATTCGAGACGACGAAGAGAATAAACAAGGGAGTCTTGAAGATCAAAGTTGTTAAGGAGGTAATCAATGACTATTTCTTTGTGAGGCCGTGTTCGTTACCGCGTTAAGGTTTTGGCCTTAACCTTTGCATTACTGTGCAGGGTCTGCAGCTGCACTCCTGTAATATTAAGGCAGCTTTAAGGTATGCCAAGGGAGCTCATTACTGAGCTCTGTTTGGTATATAGAGGTATATATAACCAGGGGCAATAGCCTGCCCCCGGAGTCATCTTTTCAACTCTTCCACTCCAGTCTTCTCAATTATTACAGTGTATATACAGTGTAAGATACTATATAGTCCAGATGGTAGATTTCAATTGGGAATAGCCTTATTTATTATCTTTTGGAAAAAAAGGTCTCTTTATTTTTTTGTTTTTTTTTATTTTTTTCCTAAAGAGAGGTTTGTAACGGCAACCCCCTATATTTATAAGGGGTAAAGCGCTATAGGTAGTTCTTACTACGTTCCTTACTACTATACCGCTCAAAATCGAGCGGTATAGTAGTAAGTAGAACGGTTAAAAAATAAGAATATTCTAGCCTTCTAATTAGTCAAATCGACGATTTAGAGTAAGTATAGGTAATTATAGATAGTTGCAGGTAATTGCATAAAAATAAGGATTTTTTAACGAACGCTACACGAGCGCAGTATAGTAGTAAGCTTACTGCGATCCGAACCCTGCAAATCTGAATATCTCCGAACTTTATACTACGGTAACGAACACGGCTTGAATAGAACCTACGACCATGCTCAATGTCACTTCCACTTGCCATGACCATGCAAATCGGATCCTGTCGATGTAGATATAGGGGCAAGCTAGTATCTATGTCCTATACAACATAAAGCCCAATCTCAACGGAATGATCCCTACCTCCTTTTCAATCCACTCCCCTCGATGTTTTCTCGCTGCAGGTGCCTACAAGTAGATACCTTCACAAAGCTGGGCCGTGTGTCCACATCGACGAGAAGTGGAATGCCCGCTGCCCATTGTGAAGGTAAGGTATCTATCTCCTCCAGGTAGATTGACCCTTTGAAGGGTAGGAGCGGCCACCCTGGTTCGGCCGAGTATTCCTCTCGTGGAGGCTCCTTGGCCGCATGTTGTAGTTGTGTTGAAGGATTGATGCGTTGAGCCAGTCCATGGCCAATGGTGACGCGTCAATATATTGGACGAACCAAGTAGTCCACTCCGCCTCCTTCATCGATAGAACCCTTATTAGGGCAAGCAACTGTGCCACACAGTCGTTGGTGGCATTGTGTAGGTTGAAGCCCTCGCCCAGGGCACCGAGCGAGGAGAAAACCTCTTCCCCCTTTGTCTGTGGTTTGTGGAATCGGATCTGGAAAACCGACCATAATTGGAGATCCCAGATTTTTACATCCGAGCCTGCAGCGGTCAGATCAAGGCCGCCGAGATGAAATACGGTCTCTTCCATGTGTGCAGCCCAGTAGAGGATGCGCACGGACCGATCCTTGCCACTTTTGACCTCGGCGTCGGTGCGGTTCTGGCTGCAAAGCTGCTTGATGGTGTCCTTCAGGTCGTTTAAGGCCTTCTCCTTGGTCTTGACAATGGAGCGCGCAAATGCACAATGGTACGGCCGGGCTGAATGCGGCTTGTTGCCGAACTTTTTGTGGTAAAAGGCTGGGCAGGTCTCCTCAGTGACTCTGCGGAACTCGTGGATGATGGTGTGTTGGGCCTTAATGTGAGGTCCAATGCTTTCGATGTCGGCGGGGTTGGATGTCGGTGTCTTGAGGTTATCGCGGGGATCGTAAATTGCAATTCCCACCTCGGAAAGCTTGTCGTAAGCTGTAGTTGCAGGTTGGCCGCGCTTCTGAACAAGGTGGTCGACCCCTTCGAGGTCGATAGCAACAATGATCGTGTCTTTCAATGTATCCCGAAAGGCGCAAAGTCCTTCGAAGTCCCAAACATAGGGCGATGCAGGCGTTTTGACAACCATGATTGTTCGATGGTACTGAAAAGAGGTAATCTCTAGAGGTCGTCTTGAGTCAGGACCGACTTCGATGATGCTTTTTGGACATAGGAAATGCTTACTTGTCTTTTGGTTGCGAGAAGCTGTCTTGCAATGAGGGTCCAATGTCTGTGTTCCTTCGTTCGTTGCCTGTTTGGGTTCGGAATATGAGAGGAATTGACCTACAGGAGGAAGAAAAGAAGTGTGAGTCGGAGGAAGAGAGTGGGGGATTAAATAGGGCTGGGAAGAGATAAAACCCAGGTCACCACGAGGAGAAGTGAAGGGGAGTTTGGTGGTGAAGGGACATGAACAGGTTGATGGAACCTGTAACAATTCCGTTGTTCACGGATCTAATTGGGAGGGCGACCGGAAGTGGGTTCAAGACCCAGGTCCTGTGATAGCTTCCACTTCACAGCACGGCCGGTGAATGGCTTCACTTCCATGGTCAAGGTTCAGGTTCTGTCCAGCTTCTGTTGGCGGACCTTCACTGAAGGCATTCACCTTTCTGAGGGCACTCTCCACCCTTGGACTCGCCCTTGAGGTTTTGAGCATGCACAAAGGTTTAAGGGTGGACACTCGGGAAAATGATGTTCTTTGACTGAATATCGGGGACTTCAATCGAGGAATCTGGCGATGGCCATGTAAGACATCAATGTCAAGAAGTTTTATACGCCGATACTGGAAAACACAAAAAAAATAAGGTCAACGATACTTAAGGTAGGATGAATGAGGGCGAATGTACGTCAAGAAATGAGTTGTGAAACGGTAAATGCCCTTTGATGCTATGGAAGCTCTTCATCATGCAGCCCTCCCACCGTCCCGTCTGAAATTGAGAAGAGTCTTCGCAGAAATTGCAGTCAAAACTCAGGTAGGTAGATGTCCTGAGGAGCTGCCTTTAGAAGGAAGCCCGATACTGCCCTCCTACCAAATTGGGTTCTTTTCCCACTGCTCCTTCCACTGCTTTGACGAAATGTCTGCCCACGGGTCTAACGGAAATGGTGACGGCGGCGGTTGCTCTTCATCCACCTCTAGCCTCTTAGCGTAATTTTCCATATAAATCGCGGGGTTGACCCAGTCTAAACATACCGAAGCGGGAAACCCTGAGTCGCAACAAGCGTTGTCTAACAGACAATTAATGTTTAGAAAACAGTAACTGTTTTCCAGATATTAATTGTCTTCCAAATATTAATTGTCTTCCAAGCCCCTAGAAGTCAAAAGTATAGGGCTTAGTATAGGGTATAACCTTCTATACTTTAGTGGCCTTGATAGTGGCCTTTGAAGGCTAGCATTGGAACTTGAAAGGTCTTCCGGAATAGCCTCAAAAAGTTGGTCACGAACAGGAATCGAACAAAGGTCACGAGCAAGAATGGGAATAAAGAACTACTTCATTAACCATTTGACTACTAAGCCAATTGGTTATTTCTAATGAAAATGGCTGGTTCTTTCCGTTAATAAAGGTTGTTAGGAAGGGGGGAGGCGGAGGAAGGAAGGTAGGACTTTGAAACTTTAAAAAATTCTGAAATTTAGCCCGACCCGGCTCCAAAACCAAGGACACTATATTACAGCGCTTACCCCCTATAAGAAACATACATTGTTTTTTAAACATTGATTGTGGTTATTGTCCAACAACCACAACGTATATCTAGAAATAGATTTTCCCACTACAGTATAGAGGGCAGGTTCTCTCCCTCATCATACCACTTGTGCCACTCCTCTTCCGTCATCTTCATGAAGCGAAGCCAGGAAAGGACTTGGGCGACCGTGTCGTTGGCCGCATTGTGAAAAACGATGCCGTGTTCTCGTCCTTCCCTGATTGCCTGCTCGTTTCCTCCTAAAATCCCCAAAGACGCCAAAGCCCTCCCACAGTTCACACGTGGAGGGGCGATCATCTCGCCGTCGTCATCAAACCAAGGCTCCGGAAAGAAATGGTGCTCGAACGGGGACCAGGTCTGGAGATCCCACAGTTCGATGTCATCGCCCAGCCATGAAAAGTCGACACCGCCTTCATCAAGGATGTCCTGCTCTAGGCGGAGATCCCAGAAGAGGATCTTGACAGAGCGCTGCTTGTCGTTTTCAAACTCTTCATTGGTTCGATTTTGGCGTACCAGCTGCCAGAAGAAAGAATGCAACCACCACATGGTTTCGATTTTCGTCAGGTAGGTGGATTTCGTAAATTGAGAGTGGTATGGCCGGGCAAAATGTCTCTTTCTGGGGTGGTTTGGTGGGTGACACCTGCAGGTTTCTTCATGGACCAGCGACCAGGCGTAGTCGATGAAATGTGTGGCCTCGATGTGCTGGGCAAGCTGGTCAAATGTATTCCGGCTGTACGGCGCCAGTCGAGGGTCAAAAACCGAGACTCCCAGTTCGGACGCTTGGCAGTATTTTGAGACCTCGTCGTGCTTAAAGTGGTCTACGGTCTCAAAGTCAAGAGACACGATTATGGCATCCTGATTTCTGGCGAGGAAGGACTGGAGAGCCTGGTATGAGGAAACTGGCTTCGGTGAGGTCGCCCAACGAGGGCCGGCAGCAAAGTACTCAGGCATTTTGAATAGTGATTTTGGGTTGTTACGATAGGAAGGCTTGGGTGGGCCTCATGCAATGATGTTAATGAGTACTCAGATTTATATAAAAAGAATTGGGAAGAAGGTAGTTACCAGCAAAAGAGCTATATCTTGGTCTGAAGGTATTGCTCTAAGATTTCTTGAATTTTGAAGGTAATGATCAAGGAAATGACCAGAGGGCTGTGAACTCGCTGTCTGGCGACGTGAATACCTGTAAGGGCTTTTGCTGTGAGCTGAAGAACAGGAGCAAAAAAAGGCAAAAACAGGTTGAGTTGGTGGTGGAATGGGGGAAAGTTAAATAGGCGTGGAGGAGTAGATAAATACTCGGGCATCGAGTGGATGGCAGAGGCCGTCGTATCCATCTTATGGTGCTATTAATGACACCAACCGCGTTCAGATCAGAGTGGTCATGCCCAGATCGGGAATAGATTCAGGTTTCAGGCCGTTCGTGAAAAAGTGAATGGAGAAAACTGGCCCAAAGCCCCTTCACCATCATCTACACTTGTTTGTGCATGCCAGAAACCTTATCCTACTCGTTGACAGACCAATTCGCCTGCCCGATAGGATCAAACGGACACAGCCATGCTCGCTCGTCTGGTGTGTCCCATGGCTCAGGTTTGGAATGGCGGGGAGACTGCAGCTGTTTTGCCTAATCTTTCCACCAACGAAATCCATTCGAAATAGGTCTGTGAATTGTTTCGTCAGCGCAATCTGGTCTTCTTGCCATACTGGAGGACCAGCATTAAAGGAAAAAAGGGTGATAAACTCGCCATGCTAACGTGACCTCCATCTTGACCCACCGAAACCTCGTTTTATGGCTACGGTATCCAAGGAATCATACAATCCCGCTATAACTCCCTGGAGGTGTTCATTGCTTCCGAAGCCAATGATTTCTGTGTGCGGTTCGTACTCTATCGGTGGTCGTCAGGTTAAGGTTTTGAAAGGAGAAGATGGGACTGAAGGCCGTGATGGATAAGTCGAAGATGTCCCATGTCCACGAGCCCGAGGCCCCCCGGCCAGGCCTGTACATGAACACGAACTTCGTGCGCTGTAACGACCGCTATAAAATCCCAAAGTTCAGTGAACATCTGCAGAGCCAAAAAGTTCAGACCAATCAAAGGTTGTGACTGCCCTCCCAGCCATCCGAATCGGGAAGGTGGTCCGTGTCCAGCAGCACTGTCAAACGACCCAAGATTCTCCGGCTGTGAACGACAAAAATGAGCAGAATCATTCCCATCGCCCATGGAAAAAGGAAAAAAAGAAAAAAAGAGAAAAAAGAAAAAGGAAAAAAGAAAGAAAATGGCTGGGAGGGAAAAGATGATAATAAAGCATCTATAGAAAATGGGAGCCCCAGCCTGAAGAAAAGCCCGCATCAGTGGTCATGTCACCACGGGCGAACGAGCCGGCGGTAGATGGCAGTACAGCATCTCCTGTCCCTTTGTCCAGCAAAGAAAAGAAGCGGATGAAGAACCGAAAGGAATGATGACGCAGGAGTATATACCACATGTAGTCCAAATAGGAAAAAGAAATGTAGTGAAGGCGTAATGAATAATGATCCTCGATGATCTGAGGTACCTCGAGGTAGCAGAGCATAACTTCCATCCATCAATGCGCAGAGGCAAAGGCAAAGTGTCCATGATATCCATCCTCAACAGGCAGGTCCGATCATTGCATCGGCGGGATAAAGGCCAGCTTTATACCTCATGAGGGTCGTAATTTCCAGCTCAAATCTTCCTCTGATTGCAGCTTCCCACAACACCAATGGCTTGATGTAATCAAATAGTAGACATTTGCCGAGCAAACTCCAACTCAACAGGGGCAAGCCGTCAAGGAAACAGCCCGGGCCAGCAGTGTTCTTGGTTAACAGTTTGACCACAGGGTTTCTACCAGATTTTATGCAAAGGCTTAAGCACAAATTGATGGTACAAGCACGTTGGAAAACGGTTAAAATGATTGTGATTTTATATGGTGAACGCAATGATCTCGCTCCTCTACCTTGATCCTACTTCCACTTCCACCCGTCCCCCTTGCCTTACGGGTAAACCGTAATTATCTTCACTAACTCCTCCTCCCACATCACCACGTAGCGGCAGAGGTAGTAACAGTGGCTACATCCAAGTGCCCCTTTCACTCAGGCAGAGGAACCTAACCGCGCTCTTCATTTTGGCTTGGCTCTGATTCCCGCGGCACGGCTTCAAACTCCGGCCTTGCTTGTACGAGAGATCTTGCCGATGCTTGCTTCTCTGGGTACCTAAAGGTAACCTATGGTGATGCGTCCTGCAGACTCGCCCATTTGCGGTTTGAGAATTTATTGCTCGCTGCCTCTGATTCCATGCTGTGTGACGAATCTTTGCCTTGGTGATCGATGCAAACCGCAAACGTTTTGCGTCCTCATGAGTCAGTCAGATCGGCGGGCATGTTTCTTACCACCACGAGATGTAGAACGGAACTTGGCCCAGTGCATGGCAGCGAATGATCGCTCAGGTACGGGGTTTGGTTTCTCACTGATCGTCCTTTCCGTGGTGGCGGGATTGCTATTTAACGGAGGTTGAGCAGCAGCGGGCGCGGCCTTAGGGAATAGATCTGATGGGTCGAAGTGTGTTGTCACGCTGATATGATCCGTCGTCGGATGTTCCACTTCTGTTGTCTACGGGGGAAGAGATGGTACTTTGCTGGGCAGGTGTTTTTTTGTTACAGGGCTTAGAGTTGTCGACGTTAGTCCAGTCACTCCCTTCCTCTACCTCCATGGTAGATAGGTTACCCCTAGATGTAGGTGATGCGGCGGGACTCCTGGACGTATACCTGCTCAACTTGGTCGACAGTTCAGCATGGTGGTCCTCAACGGTTTCCGGCAAGGCCCAAGTGGACTACCACCCCGTGGTTGACTTCCATTCCCATGATTCCCAGGAGGATGAAGTCCAGGTAGTCGAGGACCAGCTCGTGAAGGACCAGCTTGTGGTCGGTGACCATGGCGAAGTGGGATTGATGATTTTCTCTGCCGGCTTTCGCAGAACATCCGCCCAGCTTCTCAACTCCATCGCGCTACCGACAGTGGTGAAAGTGACACCAGCCTCGATCTCAGCCATTGCGCTGTGGTGCACAATGACGGGCTCAGGCTCTGGATCCTCGGGATCCTCGACTTCCTGGGGTTTCTCCCCCAGTTGAAGTACCGGGCGAAGCTCCTGGTTCGCCTTCCACACTTCCCCGCTAATCCAGGACAAGTCGACTGGATCCAGGTCACCAGGGGTATAGTCTGAACGACCACGCCAATTCTTCCACTCGGCCTCTGTCATGACCATGAATCGCAGGAAGGCGACGACTTGGGTGAACGTATCGTTGGCAGCGTTGTGCAACACTGCCATGCCCCCGGCCCCTGCTCCAAGAGCCCCGAGACTGTCGAACGCCTTTCCTGCACCGGTCTTGGCCTTTTCGAACCTCGACCGGAAGGGCTTGAACTTTTGGTAGTCCCATTCGATGGCCCCGTACCTGGTGACATCAAACTCCATGTCATGGAACCAGTTGGATTCCATGCGCGCGTCCCAGTAGATGATCCGCACCGTACGACGCTTGCCTGCTTCGATTTCTTCGGTGGTGAGGTTCCTAACGGACAGATCGTGTAGAAGGCTATCGAGGTCGGAAAGAGCCTCGTTATGGGTTTTGATCTGAGACTCGGCGACCATGCAGTGATAGGGCGTGGCCGTATGCGGTTTCTCATGGGTTCTGTGGTAGGGGGCGTAGCACGTTTCTTCGGTAAAATTGCGCCAGCGGTGGATGATTGTGTGATGACTGACGATGGATTTGGAGATCGTCGACAATCTTTCGGTAGAGCTGGCTCCGGAAATAGTGGATGAGGTATAACAGTGGTTGAGACGAACGTCTCGAGGGTCGAAGAATGATGAACCGACTTCCGAAACCTTTTCCCAGTTCTCCAGGAGTAACCCTCCGCACACCCACCCCATTCCCTACATATACCCAAAAACCTCCAATGCAGCTAACATGTAAATAACCATATTTTGGGTATAATCTTACTCGTTTTACATATTAGGGACCTTAGTCAAATTTCTAGGTTATATAATTATCTCAAATCTAGTAATATCTCCATAGTATTTATTACAAATTAATAGTAATTAAGCGCTCTATTTAAATAATACTAATTGTAAACGATTAGATTCAATTGAATTCTACTATTAAATACTAATGTTTAATAGCTCAAATAGCTCAAAGAGCTCATCAAACGAAGAAATTAATAATACCTCAATAATTCACTACTCTTTTATTCTCTATTCTCTCGCCCTAGCTACCCAATACCTTCCTAACTCATCATCGCTATTATTATTATTAATAACCTTAATATAGTTATATACTTCGTCTTAAGTATTAAGTTACTTAATACTAGGCCCCTCCTTATATTGGGAATAATTGTACTATATTAATATTTATATAGGTTGGGTATTCCTTAATCTACTATAGGGCGCTATTACCTTCTTACTAATTTCTCTATTCCGAACTATCCTAATTAATAATAAATTTAATAGAATAAGTTTATTATTAAACGGACTACCCTATTTAGGGGGGTAACCTTTAGGTATACCCTTAGCGGCTGGACGAAAATGTAAATATTTATTTACTATATCCTAATATGATAATTAATATAAGGTTACCCCGGGGGAAGGATAGTAATAATCTTACCTATTATTATATTAAATATTAGAATAGATAATAATTGTCTTTTATAACTAAGACCGTTTTACCAAATTCCTTCTTTACTACTATTTTATAGGTATACGGGAGGCTATATTACACTCTAAACTATTTAGTACAAGGGTTAAGAAGTATATTAAGGCAATTCGTAGTAAGGAGGGTAGTTTTTAATTAATTATATTAATATATAAGGAATTTATATACTTATAATATAATATCGAGAAGTATATTACCTACTTATAAACGCCCAATTTAATCTATCTGCATATGAAAAAATAACTTAGTAATAACCTCTTTAAAGTAAATATAATAGCGGATAATATATTGATTACTAATTTAATAAAAATTAATTAGATTACTACGAGTAAATAACCTCTATAACTTTAAAGAACTATTATTAAATTTACTTAGTAATATAATCTATTACCTATAATTAAAGTAGTACCTAGTATGGTATCTAGCCTACTCTTTCTTGCAAGGAAGCAAATTAATTATAATTTACTTAATAATACCTTCCTAATCCTCCCTAAATTAATATTATAGAAGAAATAAAGCGCTTTCGAACTCCGTTATCGACGGGGCGTAAAGTATATACTACTATATATACAAGAACCCTACCCTCGTATTAGCAACCTTATTAGAAAGCGGACTAAGCCCAACCTACGTCCTAATAACTATTTTAACCTTCTAATATATATAACGTAATCGATTAAAATTATTTTAATTATCCTAATTAATTGGCTCTCGATATAGCTATTGTGCAGGCGAAATAAATTATTAAAATCATTACTATTACCTTTCTCTTCTATAAGCTCGTTGTAACTCTCCTCATTATCTTTATTATATTCGCGCTCGCCATTTAAATCTATACGCTACCAATTATCTTAAAAGTACTTAACTACATTATAATTAATATACTATATATAATATTAATATTAAATATTTAGAAAAATTTAATTAATTACTCTAATAAATTAATTATTACTATTAATAATAATAATTAACAGCTCAGGGATTAATAATTTCTTTATTATCTTCCTAATATAGTCAATAAACTAGCCAAATCCTTCGTCCTTCTCATTATTAATAATTATTTAAAAGACTAGTATAAATAACTTTTTAGGGGTAACTACAATACCCTATACAATTAGTATATAATAATAGTTCATCTTATACATAGTATTAAATAGTAAAATATATAAATATTATTTCTATATCTTTTATTACTTTTTTAAATACTAGAGATTATAGCGTAGTATATTAGGGTCCTCCTCCTACTACCCTTTATCGCCTATATAATAATTAAAGAGATAATATTTAAATGTAATAAACTTATTATTTTCGAGAGTACGTACAAATACTTATATATTAGTATACCCCCGTTGTTACAGGGCTAGCGCCCAGGATTAAAGACTCGGCTTTGCTAAGTCTGCCAAGCTGGGAACCAGCTATATTAATAAGGATGCGAGCCTTCTAGTTGGTTGGATCCACATGTTTGCCTAGCCCGTGCGCCCGACTATAAAACCTTCTTTTAATTGTACCCTTCTAATGTAGTCTTTCTTTACTCTCTTTATTAAATATAGCATTTTAACCATTATACGACTGCTCGCTGTACAATACTCTAGTAGACCCATTATACCCGTTATCTTATTAGTACATCCTTTATTGTATATTCTCAAAGTCCTTATACGTAAGAAGTAATTTAGGGTATCGTTCTTTAACGGTTGCGTATATAACTCGTATATTTAACTCCTATTAACAAAGGAGATTCGTAATATCCTTTTAACTCTCCGTATTAAAAGACTATTATTTAAAAATCAAATAGCTTAACAAGTCTCGTAATAGAAGGTAACCTTTATATATACAATTAATTGTCTAAATAGTATATTTATAGCCATTCTTCTTTAAATATTATACTATACTACGGAAGGGATATTTATTAATAATCTTTCGAATAATTATACATTATTTCTTATAAGGGTTAGTATCTACATTAGATATAGATTCAACGTAGTTATATCGAAAGACTTTACAATAGAGCTTACTAATATATAGTCCCTTCTTAAAATAGTCAGTACAAAGTATAAATACTCCAAATCTATATTAACGATATATTTTAATAATTTTAAGTATTATAAAGTTTAAATTGGTAGGTAGTAAAATAAAGGCGCCATCGTCGCAAAGGATAGTCTATTTAATATCACTATCGAAAGAGGTATAACTGCTTATAAAGGTAAATAACGAGGAAGTCGAATCGCGACACCGGCGAGGTTGTACTGAGGAAGGGGCATTTTAGGAAGTTCGAGACGGCATTTATTAACTATCAGCGATTGCACACAATCAAAGGCAATTACAGACGGTCGAAATCAATTAATTTAAGTAAAATTATATACGTTAAAGGTATTAAAATAATATAATTAGTACGCGATGTACAAATGGCTAGCGGTGTGGATAGGGTGCTAGATGGGGTACAAATGGCCGTATGAAAAAGAGTGAAAAAAATAACTAAGTTAGAGGAAATATTGCATATATTGAAAAGACGAAATTTTGCGGGTAAAAACGGGATTTACAATGTCAAGTGTCATCGGCTGTCTTGGCCCACTATTTTGGGTTTTTGGGTATATATAGGGAATAGGGTGGGTGTGCGGAGGGTTACTCTTCTCCAGTCCTGCAGCGTAGATGCCATTCCTGTGATCAATGGCCTCGAGATCAAAAGCTACAATCACGGTGTCTGCATACAAGGACTGGAACTCAGCCAAGCCGCTATAGTGCCTAACCTCTGGTGCTGGTGCTGGCACGGGCTTGGTAGGCTGATCCGAGCAACGCTTGAAACACATTTTGGCCGGATGTCTAGACGTGTAGGTAAGTCGGGGTAAATCGACAACAAAATGTCGAGGATGTCTGCCGTTGAAGAGTTGTGTCAGTTAACGGAAAGTAATCGGTTGTGAATGATCGAGGACAACATCACATACCTAAGATGTGGGTATATACTTGAGAAGAGCTTGTGTACGAAGACAATGTCGGCAAGTTCTTGGATATTGACGAGGATCGATCGTCTTTGAAGATTGCGGTACATAACGAGGAGGAAAGAATTGAAGAAGGAAACTGGGGGGGCAGGGACCCTATATATAGGTAATCATGCAGGGTCAGAGCTTCGAATATGTTGATGATATGTAGGCCGCATGCACTACACGTGAATGGTGGTCAAGTCGCGCAGTGAAGGGAGGGCTTCAACAACAAACCTTGAGTACCCGGTGATCTTGTATAAAGAGACAGAATTGCAACAGGTTTCCCCGTTGGAAGGAAGGTTCAAAATGCGGTTGGTGAATGGTTGACAGTTCGAAGGAGACAACGAGATATGACAAGGATGGTCTACGACGTCGTGTGTGACCTCGGTCGAATTTTAGTGTCAGGCTTCGAGACATGTCAAACTCACGGAACGTACCCAAGGTTTGATGAGAACTGAATGGTGGAGGGAAGGTCAAAGATGCGAGGGGGGTTTCTGCGAGTCTATGAAAGCCAAAACTTCGTGTACCCCCTGTTATAATGGAAAAAAGTTTGTCTACATCTACCACACCAACGCTCGTTGTCTCGTTGAACCTTTTGGCTCCCGTTATGATGTTAAACTCGTACACAACCAGACAGAAAACAAAGCTGCAAAATCACTCTCGTATAGCTGCAAGTCTACGCTTGTAAAGTAGCAAAAGTCACATCTCGCACAATCGAGTAATACCGACTACCGGTATCGTTCAATACGCATAACTTCAAATTTTCAAATTCTTCGTTCGGCCTAGCAAAGAAAGGAAGCAGAGCAAAACCGTTACCTAAGCAACTCATCCGCTAAGATCTCTGGCTTACAACTCCCAGACCACCTGTTTCTTCTTTCCTCGCTTCTTCCTCTTTGGCGCATTCTTTGATAGGCACTGGCCATTCTCCATCGCTGGACCGGCGACTCCATCGCTGCAATTTCGAGCACTTGCTAATTTGTGATGGGATCGGAGGTCGTTTGAGCCGATTTTATCAATGGTCGCAGTGCTGCTACTTGCAGGTGCGTTGCTATCGGTGGTGTGGGTAGGTCGTGAGGGGGTAGGGGAAGTCGAAGCTGAGGTCAAAGAAGGAGGCGTGGAGGCTGGTGTTAACTGGGTAGGCGATGTGGTAGCAGAAGAAGAAGAGGGTGATGAGGAAGATGGACGAAAGCAGAGTGGGACAGACCAGCAGGATTTGGGTGGTGGCTTGGCTTCTGGACTCCTCGGGACTTGGAGACCGCTGCTCTTTCCGGTTGTATAACTTTCCTCAGATTTGAACAGATTTCGCGCATTTGATTTGGCGCCCCACACGGTTTTTGGAGGTGCCTTGATCTCTTGGATCCGAGGAGGTAGCCCGGGAAAGACGGAAGTGTCGTTCATGGCGGGGGGTGGACTGGGCTTGTGATGGTGATGCCCGTTCCTGTTTGCGGCTTGACCGAGCAAAGCAGGGCGCATTGCTAACGAAGGACCAGAAAGACCGTTCTTGTTGGGGAACCGCTTGTACTCGAGTTCCAAGGCGGTGTTGTGGTGGAGAATCTGGACATCAACCCAGCTCAAATCCAAGGGTTTGAGATCCTCTTCAGCCTGGACCCAGTGGGAGAAGTCCTCCTTCGACATGTGGAAGAAGCGAATGAGCGTAGCCACCTGCGCCCATGCGTCGTTGGAAGCATTGTGTAGCGTGATTGAATGATCTTCCGAGCCGAGAATGCCGGTTGTCGCATAGAATCTTTCAGCTCCAGTCTTGTTGCCATGGCCGAACCGGTTCAAGACGGGAAGCCATAACTGGAAGTCCCAGTGCTCAATGTTGTTGCTTCCGGTGAAATTGTATTTATAATCGTTGAACAGTTGGGATTCAGCGTTTGAGTCCCAGGACAGGATGACAACCTTGCGGCGGACGCCGTCGGCCACTTCCGTCTCAGTGAGGTGTTGGTTTTGTAGAATCCGAAAGTAATCGGTGAGCTGGCTCATAACCTTCTGGCTCGACTGGACGTCGCTTAGACAGAATGTTGCCGTGTATGGTGATGGTTTGTGTGCCCCGCGATGCCAAGCCTTCCGACGGTTTGGGCATGTCTTTGCGGTCACCCAAGCCCACTCGTCGATGATGGTATGTTGTACTTGAATGGCTTTGATTCTCTCTACCTCGGAATTTGATGGACCACTTCTTAGGTCGAAAAGGGCTACGCCCATTTCTGACAATTTTTGCATCGGACGCTCATTGGGTTGGTGGTCGATATTCTCGATATCAATAGATACGAAAATAGTGTCGCTATAGGTCTTTCTGAAGTCGACCAATTCCGCATAGCTGTGGACAGCCGGGGGTGGTGGACAAGTAGACTTCATTGTCGCTATAATTGCTTTCCGGTGATTGCGGGATATTGGGGTGGTTGTGTAGGTGAGTGGGAACGTGGTGATGTGTGGTGTCCACGAAGGGAAGAAGAAGAGCGGATTTGAAGCAGGAATTTATAGCCTGAAAGGAAATATATACAGCCATTCACCAAGGATCTTCACAGTCTAGGGCAAAGGTTTCAGCAACCTCGGACGCCTTCATATCATCATTCACTCGTAGTACGGGATCACCGGCAGGAACCTGAGTTCACACCGGACCACTGAACAAATGAGAGAAAACGGCGAGATCTCCAAGTTTCAAACAGAAACGGATGACTTCAGGTCCTTTGCCTGGACAAACGGTTCGTTACCGAGACCTGGAGCTGCCACCATTGAGCCTGTTACCGCGAATAGTCTTGGAGACGTATTGAACCCTCAAAGATAGTTGACTCCTCCGGGCAGCAGCGGCGGGGAAGGTTTTCGATCACGAGCCGGTGAGTCTGGCCTCGTCTATTCACCACCACTTCGATCGTCTTCAAGGTCCAACCCTTCGGTATCCATCTCCATCAACATTTCGATCCCCATGGAACGGGACCAGGCCACTTCTGTCCGTGATAAGGCGATGCGTCTCCTCGTCCACTTGGCTAGTATATGCTGTTGCTTCCCACCCGGAGGCAAACGATAAAGTGAGAAAGCAAGAAAGGTATCAGGCCCAGCGCTAGAGGCATTATCACTTGAACCATTCTCTCGTTTGCTGGCGTTAACGACACTATTGCGGATGTAAAAATAGCTGGATTGAACCAACAGAAATAAAAGTAAGAACGAAGTCGATGTGCGTAAGCGCTGAACTACAGCGTCAGGAACATAATGTGCAATGTATATGCAGCTCCGAGTCTGCGCCTTTTTGGGTCGCACAGAATCTGCACAGGAAAGGGGATGATCCGCAATTGCCTCCGGAAAGGGAAGTCGAGTAAACAAAGTCATTGTGTTCAGGATCCGATCTTGTAGTGATCCTAAATCCTTCGTTAGCATGCGCTTTTTGGATAATGACAAGGGAAATACTTTATGATTGAAGCGGCAATACAGATTCCGGCAAAAGGACCGCAGGAGGGGCAGAGCTTGAAACCTGTACATGGCCCTCCAAGAGACGGTTCGGACCGCCTCAATTGAGGGCCTGCCCTGAACTGTCTTGCTGTTCTTGTTGGGGCCGTCGTGTCGGACATTGTAACAGCGAGATTACGTTGCATGGAGGAAAAGAAGATCGATCTTGAGAAAGGCGCAGGACAAACTCCACCTGCTCACCTACAGCCTGGTCAAGTGTCAGGAGCTGACGGGAACTTGGGTGCGCCTGCCGCGTGCAGTGATGTGACGAACATCCGAAGTGGTGCACTAACAGCAGGGCCCTTCTGCTTAGGTATCCAGCTCCACTATAAGCAGCGTTAAAAGAGCGGTTGGTACTTCGCTTCTGATACGAGGTTTTCCACTGCGCGCAGTCCAGTCCATCTGTGCGAGACCAACGACACGACACGACAAGTCTTCCATCATCACTAATTCCGTCGAGTCCCCGTTCCGGTTCTTCTTCACCCTCGCAAACGCCCGGCCTGCGCTCTCCTAGAAACCAGACTAGCTTGCCTCGTCAACAATGAGTGCGTTTGCTCCCCCTAACCGCAACCGCAAAGTTCCAGTTCACTTCCACGAAACCGACCACGATCCATGACCGATATCTGCCGATTTGCGCTTCCCGACCCGGCTACTCGTCGAAATCTCGACAGCCCTAGGCGATTCCTTCGTCGACCGACCCGCGGCATTATTCAAGCGCCTTTGGTTACCTAAATGTCCCTGAAGCCGAGAGCGACTATGCCCCGAACGCAATCCTAGCTCTTGTCCCATCTCAGATCTGCGCGCGATACTACCTACAGAGGCACATAAGCCCAAAGACATGACAAGCTTTAAAGGCCCAGCGCACACAGTCTAGTGACGACTGGTCTCTCCTCGCGGTACCAGGGGTCCCGAACTTCCCCGAAAAATACCTACGAACCGACGAACCGACAAAGTGAACTGTGACGTTCCAGGGCCAAAAGCAGACAGAATAGGAGTTGGGCCGGTAGGTGCAACGAAAATCATAAGCGAGATATTCTTTGCCCATGATCGCAAAGAAAAAATCAGAAGATGGCTAGGTGGTCGCTGTTCTGGAAATGTCTACCCAAAACCCATTACACTGCCAACCTCCAAGTGAACGCTATCGAAGCCGGCGAGGACACAAGATTCAGAAGAAACACCCCAGACACGAACCAACATCCCAGTTCGGATCCAGCCTCTCATTGTACTCGGCAACCTCCGCATCAACCCAATCCAGCTTGACCATATACTCCTCCGGAAACCACGTAAAGTCCTTCATGTACCGACTCCAAACCTCCTCCTCGCTATGAAGCAAGTACAAAAACGCCGCCAGTATCGCAAACACATCGTTCCCCGCATTATGCCCACACGCCAGGACCCCCAGGGGCTCTAACAAATTGTATGCGGAATCGCTCGTCTCCGCGTTCCGCCTGGCCTGCTGGAGGTTATGCCACTTTTGCAGATCCCACAATTCAATGTTCATCTTTTTCGGGTCGGGGTACGCAGGAAGCTGGATCCCCCACTGCGACATGATTTTGATCTCCAACCTGGCGTCCCAGAAAAGGAGAATAACGGGCCTGCGCTGGCCTTGCGCGACCTCTTCGGCGGTCAGACAGCGCGTCGGGAGACGGTTGAGAATATCCTGCAGCTTGTCGCGGATGGCGTGAGCGGGTCGGATGCGGGAGCGGGCGAAGACGCCGTCGTAGGGGTGGGCGACGTGCTCGACTATCTTTGCGCCTTTGCCGGGCCACGTCGTGTGCATGAAGGCGTCGCATGTCATGGGGGTGATTTTGCGCCAGCGGGAGGCAATGTAATGACGGACGTGAATCTTCTGGAGTCTTTCCTCGATGGTGTGCGTGGAGGAGGCGGCGGTGGCATCGCGGGGGTCGTAGACGGCGATTCCGAGCTCGGACATCCTTTGGGATTCTGATAGGACTTTTTGGTGTCTTGGGTGATCGATCATTTCAAAGTCGAGGGCGACCAGGATTGTGTCTCTGAGATCGTGGGCGATTTCGGCAAGTTGGTCGTGGTGCCAGATTATAGGTGGTCTGCGTACTGGGCATCTGGGAGTACTAGGACTGGGACTTTCGGGCACATCTGGCTCTTGATTAGCGGTTGTTAGCTGGTATGTGCGATGGCGTTTTGTGAAAGCGTGACCGGCCTACTCTGGCTTTCCTCGCCTTCGCTAGGTGGGAGGGGAGGAAAGTAAAGCTGCTTTTTCATGGCACGAAATAATCTGTAATCGTGTTGATAGAGATACTGATTAACGCTGATGGGGGGATATCGGTCTCTTCGGTGGAAGCTTCGAAGAGCGACCGAGTCAGTTAGAATAATGAAAAGAAGTCTGTCCCTGGCTTGGAGAAGAGGAGGTTTTTCACCAGAAAATCAACATTTGAACTGCTCCCGACCATATTGACATCCTGTGGTCAGTGGGCTTGTAGTCGGCAGGTGCCTTCGGAACGCCCAAGAAGTCGTGATCGGGAATTCAAGCACATGTTACTCTTTGTACCTTCCTCGTCGGTGCAGAATGTGCCCGTTCACTGACGTTCGGCCATTCTTCCCTTTCCTACCTGCCATGGCTCCTTGCTCATGAACATGCACGAAATGGTGCGGGGAACGATGCGAAGAGGTCTTCAAGAGCAGCATGGCTGATCCTAACTCTCATTTTGCCTTTGGTCTGCTTACCGACAGAGTGATACGGGCCTTGGGTGATGAGCCCAGAAAGCCATTTGTACTCTGCCTTAGAAACGTGGTTGTATTTCCTGACTCACCATCCAGACTAGAAGCAATGATTCAGGGAACCAGTCATGCTAGGAGTCAGGATTGAGCCGATTGTTCGGTGTCTTGCCAACAAAACTTCCCTATTGTGCAAATGACACGTTTTTTTTTCTTTCCCGACAACGGGATGCAAAGATGGCTCATCGGCAAGCCGCTAGGTGAATACTAATGAAATGGACGCGATGAAAGTGTGAGACTGATACCAGATATGTAAGTGATTGATGCAGAGCAGCCTGAAATCAGTAACACATGGCATGGCAAGCTCCCGAAAGACTATACTTGTGACAGATCAACCACAACAAGATCAAGGAGAAACAAATGTGTGATGGGGACGTTTGGCTGTTGAGATACCCAAACTACAGGGTACTCAACGCAAAGAGCAGGGTAGGCAGGTTCTGGAGCTTTAGGTTCGTCGTCGGCAATGGAAATGAAACGCACGGACATGAAAGAGAGGTCGTTGAACTCTGCGTGCGTCCAACAAAACGAAGTCTCAGCCGGCAAACCCACGGCTGTTCGAGATGGCGAGCGCCGACTGTCTGCCTGCCGGGATATGGTGCACGGTCCTCATCGCGGGATTTGTGGCTCAAGCTCCAAGCAGGAAAGCGGATGGCACCCGACGGACGGCGAACACGGCTGATCCAGAGTGGCGGTCCACTGGATGACAGGCCTGGCAGTTTCAGGGCAAAAAGTGCACTGAAGAGTGGCGTTGGTTACTACGTCGCCAGGGGCAGCAGACGCGCACAGAGCGCCTTGTGAGGTACTGAAGCCGGGCAACAGAAAGCGCCAGTCCTGTCTGGACCTTGGCTCGGACTTGGCCAACCGTTTTGGTGGGAAAAAGTGTCCCAAAGGCCCCGGCGAACGAGAAGAAGTGTCCAGTTCGGAGACAAACACCACTCAGCACGGCAGCAGCGAGCAACGCCAACGTCGACCAGAGCAACCAACATCCGACTGAGTATTCGACAACCATCGAGTCGATTTGTTGCTCTCATCACCACTCAACATATCATACGCGCGTCGGCGACACTTCCCAAAGACGACGCCGTTCAATGCCGTCTCTATAGTGGACAAGCATTCAACCGCCGAACTGCTATCATGGCGCCGCTCGTCGACAACGCGCA